TGAATAAAGCAAGATTGAGCGAACTAAGGACCTAGCTAATATGTTCACTTCGGATTTTATCTTCTACACAACAGGTTGATAGCCAAATCAAGCCTTTTTAAGCATCAACACCTTCATAAGCCATTTTTAGCAAGCGCATTAAAGTCCTCCTAGGAAGTGGTAACTATTGCCACTATGAGTTTAATATGAGGATAACCCTAGCGAGATAATTTCTGCTGATACACAGAGTGGCTGTCAAGTACGAGGGTGTAATCACGGATATGTGGCTTGTGAACAAGTCCAAGACGCTGGGCATCATCGTTTAAAGCGTCATTATCCAGCACCAGACCAAGATATGGTCGGCAACGCGCGCGGTGGAGGCATGGAAAACACGACGCGACTTCTATATACAGTCGACTCTTCACAATCGAGTAGCGATGACGCGCCAACTTAACGATTTAAGGGGTATATTAGACCAAGTTTGGCGGTACATTTGGACGCATATGACGAACTGTTTGTTGGACTCCAGACTACAGGAGAGCCGATTGGTGAGTCGCGACAGATTTGATCATTCTCAGCAGTATTCCTTCTGACTGTGAGGTGATTTTGTCGATTGTGGAGAATGTGAAGGACATCTCGCTTACCGAGGTAAATAATGGTCCTACAAAGCAATCATAGAGGCTGAGCAAGAAGGCGATAACGGAGAAAGCCTTTTGCATGACTGGAAATACGGAAGAATCTAAAGGAAAAAGGGCAACGGTCGAGAGGGGGGGCTGCGTCTCGCAATACCGGCGCTACACGCAATAATGGTGGTTTATGGGACAAAGTTTTAGTTGAAATCAGTTTGGTCATATGAAGAGGAACTGCCTTGCTGGAAATCGTTTTAGCAACGATGGTGCAGTGTTGGAATTGTGTGAACAAAGTGCAACTGTAGGGCTGATCCAGTGGCGCTACATCCCACTTGACACCCCACGTAAAAAAATGTTTGAATACAAGAGTCTAAAACAAACATCAAAGTCACTATTGCAGACGGCAAGAGGTTGATCGTCAAAAGATTTAAAATGATGACATTAACTGTTTTAGACGGAAGAGGCATTCGCATGGTTGAAGTTTTGTTTATCCTAGGGCTTGACAGACGGTTGTTGCCAGTTGTTAGACATGCTAACCGTGGTTAAAGCGTGGAGTTCTCGAGACCGTTTTGCGTCGTCTGGAATGAGGATCAAGCTATTGCTTTTGGGAAAAGGATCGGGAAGGCGTATATACTTGAATGCAAGCAGGAAGAAGCATGCCTCGTGGAATATTCCGGTGGTGACAATCAGTGGAGGCTCTGGCACGCTCGCATGGGACACCTAACCAAAGATGCTCTGATCAAGACACAGTGCTCGAATTTAGGCATCCCTCCAACCAAGCAAGACAAAAATACTGTGCTTGAAATGTTTGAAGGGTAAACAAACAGTTACGACGTTTACTTCACGTTCGATGACAGAAATGACACATGTGCTCGAGCGTGTGCACATGTATGTAATGGGGTCAATGAGAAGCTTATCAAAAGGAGGTACCAAGTATGTCCTCACTTTTCTCGGTAACCACTTGAGGTACGTCTCTATTTTCCGTCTGGCGTGCAAAAGCGAAGTGGCTGGCAAGTTTAAAGAGTTCAAGACAATGCTCAAGAGCGAATAAAGTGTCTACTCTCTGTAACGGGGCACCCTGAAGCTTGTACTGGTGACAGTACAAGCTACTTATTCTGATGACAGAATAAGGCGGTGCCTCGTAACTTCACGTACACTCGTACGTGCAGAGGAAGACGGTAAGAAGAAGCGAGTACTTGGTTAAAGTAAAAAGTAGAACTGTATTTATAATAGTTAATGTCTGCAATAAATCACTATTTATCTTCATCTAACTATGTCTAAATACAAATGTGTAAATCAGTTATCTGCTCACCACTCATTGCGTGCGTCTGTCGTGGCGCGTCTTCGTTGGTTGATATAATGGCCTATATCAACCAATTAGGAACTACTCGTAAGTGCTACAGAATATTTGTCCTTATGACAATATTCTGAGAATATAACTCTTATAGTTATATTCTATTAACAATTTCTTATAAATTGTTATGTAACGATTCACCCCGTTACATCACCCCCCCTTAACCATCAGTCACTTTAGTGACTGATTGACTAAATGGATACTCGTCCCAAATCATTTGGGACAGGGTTTGCACTTGTTGGTCCGCGTCCACTTTCCAACATCTCATCGCATGGTAAACAAGCCCATGCGATGCGCGAACAAGGCCTCCGAGAGCGCGTCTGCACGTCTCTGTGCGGACGCCGAAGCAAAAACCACAGCAACTGATGTCTCATCGGTTGCTGAAGCGACTCAGCCTGTGTCACTTGGTGATGCAGGCGCTCGTCAGGAAGACACTCATGTCTTCACAGAGTATGAGCTCGGTGTCTCATACTCCCCTGATACGGAAGAGGGATCCGTATCGACGGCGATCGAATCCAAGCCGCCTGCCAATCGTGGCATGGATGATGCTATGCGTCGTAGCATCTTTGGTTCATCTGATTAATCAGATGAACTATCGCCGAAGCGAAGGCGCTCGAGGTCGCGAGACTCGGGCGCTAACAGTGGTGTCGGTTCTCCTATGGACACCACTTCGCAACGAGGTGCCAGTCCTTCTGTCGGCACGTCGCAGGAAGAGCGGGACCGCAGTGTGTTGCGTCTCGCTCCCGAAAAGAAAGCATGGCTGCCTTCAAGGTCAGTCATGGATCGCTTGTCGGCGACGACGAGTGATCGTTATCGAACACGGTTGTTCGATTCGTCAAGGATCCATCACCTTGACCCCAGCGCGAAAAACTATCGCGCTGAGAATGAATTCTTCATCGGTGCTTTCTTTATACATCGATGGTACAGTGGGAATCACAAACGTGATGGTCCCTCACTACTTCAGGCGTGGAACGCCTACATCCATAACCTTGAGGATGTAGGTCGTGACGTTTGGAACGACAAACTTATCAAAGCTCGTGATAAGTTTGAGAAAAGAACCCCGACAGGTGCACGCTACAAGCTGCATCGTCTGTCAAGGGAGAAAGGATTACCTTGCCTCTCTTGGGGAGAATCGTGCCCGTGTTGTGTGAACAACTCTGCACGAGCACCTAAGGAGGCTTACCTCCTTACCAGCCCGTGGTGGCGCGTACGTGTCTCTACTGAGACGTACGAAGGGATTGACAACCTGAAATCCCTTTACGACCGTGCCGGGAAGACTTTCTCCGGCGGTCCTTCTGCGGCACAGGATGTGCCGCGTCGTACTGCTCAACCAGACCCAGTACGTCGATCATCAGTTGGGAGCGGGGCTCCCAAGAATCCCAGGACGGGGGATAGCCGCGCCACCGGACGAGATAACTCGTCCGACGTCCGTTCACGTCGCGGTGGTTCAACAGCTGCTCAACTAGATAGCGCTGGCCACCGCGAGAGTCCTCTAATGGAGGTGGAGGAGGAGGAAAGACGCTCTCCACACGATCATGTGGATCGGTGTGTTCCCGAGAGCTTCTTTGATCGCGTAACGCAAGGGTTGCGCGACGATCTCGAGCATGAGCGGAATAGGTGTCTCCAAATGGCGGACACTGCCTCGAAGCATCGAGCTGAGTTTGCCTTTGCTCAGCTCGAGAACGAGAGATCTCTGAAATCTCTTCGTGACGAGCTAAGGGTAGCTTGTGGGATTGTTGATCGGTCTCGGGCTGAGATAACTGCTCTTCAGACCCTTGTTAATGCCCACCTTTGGGAGCACAAGGCTCTCTGCGAGATGCTTGAGCGCAAGGGCGTTCTTCATCGGAAGAAGCAGCGTACTGATGGTACGGCTTAAGCCGACCAACGTAAAACGTGGGATGCGTTCGCATCTTACGTGGTAACTCGATCGTGTATGCATTGCCTAGGCGGTGCAATACACGAAATGGGCCAATGTACTTGGGTAGTAGTTTACTGCTACCCAAGTTAGTCACTACATGCTTTGGTAGATTAACCGTAGACAGTAGGACTAAGTCACCTTTATTAAATAAAAGAGTGTTTGCCCTTCCATTCTTGTCAGCGTTTTGCTTTTGCTTATCCACCGCTTCGGCGATGGAGTCTTGCACAAAACGGACTACCGTTTCACGAGCCAGTATGAACTCATCTGATGACTCGTTAGCTTCAGTGTGCTGTGAGCGCACTGCAGCAACATCAACCTTTTCTTCAGTGAGGGCTTCCGCGCTCTCACTGGGATCATCTTCTTCAGTGAGGGCTTCCGCACTCTCACTGGCATCATCTTCTTCGATATCGATGTTATCGATATCGGCATCAAACGCAATGACTTCTTCGTCAGAGCGTGATGAGCGTGAACCAATTCGGTTTTTGCTCGCGCGAGTCCCTCCCCCCCTTAAACCAGAGTTACACTCTAGTAAGGTGGGTACACGCGGATGGCGCAAGCCATTCACGTAAAACGGTGTATGTGTCGTGGACGCATGCACCGAGTTGTTGATGGCAAACTCCACCATTGGCAAAAACTCACTCCAACTCTTAAAGGAGTGTACGTATCCTCGAAGTATCTCTTCAAGGACACGATTGGCACGTTCCTTCTGACCATCTGACTCTGGATGATCAGATGTTGACATCTTCAAGCGCGTTCCGAGTGATTTGAACACGGAACGCCAGAAATCAGCAGTGAATCGTGGATCTCTGTCTGATACGAGTTCACGGGGCAACCCATGAAGTCGGAAGATGGTGTCAATAAAGACACAAGCACAGCCACTTGCCGTGATTGTCTCTGGTACAGCCACAAGGTGTACCATTTTGCTGAATCTGTCAACAAATACGAGAATACCCGTAGTCCCGCGTGCGTCTTTGGGTAACCCGAAGACGAAATCCATTGAGATGGATTCCCAGCACTCAGCCGAAACCGGTAGAGGCTGTAAAGGTGCACGCAGTGAAGGACTTGACTTCACTCGTTGACAGACTTCGCATGCGCGAACATACTTTCGCACAAACTGATACTAGCGGGGCCAGTAAAAGTCTCGACTCACCGTGAGATATGTTTTCTCTCGGCCACGATGTCCTCCTATAGGAGCATCGTGATACTCGAACATGATCCGCAAACGCAGATCAGTATCATCTGGAATGACAACACGTGGTGTGTCACCAGAAATGGCTGTATAATACAGTAAACCGTTGCGAGTAGTGTATCGATCTGATGCAGATCGATACGCAGGCCACAATCGCTTCAACGATTCTCGGGATGGTTGGGAGAGATGTGTCAACAACTTCACAATCTCACCATCTTGGGCGTATGCCCGCCTCACATCATCATACAACGTTGTAGATGGGACTGAGGACGTCATAACCGCAACAGTGACTGTCTCACTGTTGGGTTTCGCGACTGTTTCAAAGTCGGGACGACGTGAGAGTGCATCAGCGACGACATTAAGTCGTCCTGGTTTGTACTCGACCGTAAAGTTGTATTCCGCAAAGGATGACAACCGCCGCGCCATTCGTCGTGAAAGGTGCGGGCTGTTCACTGCCGTGCGCAATGACGCATGGTCAGTGTAAACAATGAAGGGTCTATCTCCTAATAGATAGACTCTGAACTTCGCGAGTGCATACTTCATGGCAAGGAGTTCCTTGTCATGCACTGGATAGTTCCGCTCAGCTGGTTGCAGCTGACGCGACTGATAGCAGACGACGCGTTCAACGCCTTCTAGGTCGTACTGCTTTAATGCACAGCCGATTGCGAAATCGCTGGCATCACAGACCACATGAAATGGCCTGTCCTGATCGGCAATTGCTAGGATTGGGGATTGTATCAAGCTCTGCTTGATACCCTCAAAGGAGCGTTGACATTCAGCGTTCCATAACCACCTCTCGTTCTTTTTCAACAAACGAGAGAGGTGCACAGTCATCTCGGCGTAATTGCGTGAATACTTGTGCAAATACGCCGCTAGCCCAAGGAATTTTCGAAGACCTTTGACATCAACCGGCACAGGCCAGTCGGCGATCGCCTTGATCTTTTCGGGATCAGGACGTACACCGTTATCACCGACGATGCACCCAAGAAGTGGTATTTCGCTTGCTGCAAATATACACTTCTTGAGGTTTGCATACAATTGATGCTTTCGCATGATTGTAAGAACCTGTCGGACGTGGTACCTGTGAACCTCAACGTCCGACTTTCCATCCATAGCTCGACTATGGATGAATATGTCATCGAAATAACTCGGCGCGAATTCTCGTACTGGTCTCAACAGATGTGATACACATCTGTTGAACGTGGCAGGGGCATTACTGAGCCCTTGTGGCATTACTAGCCATTCCCAGAGCATGCCGCTAGGCGTGCTAACTGCGGTATAGGGTATATCCCGTTCCCGCATAAGGATTTGATAGAAGCCATCCATCAAATCCATGGACGAAAAGATGGTACTCTTTGACATACCATCAATGATTACGTCCTTCCTCGGTATCGGCGTCTGAGCCGGTACCGTTGCAGCGTTCAATTTGTTGAACGCGTGCACTATCCGCCACCCTCCTGTTGCTTTTCGCACACAGAAGGTCGGAGAGCTATGTGGGGAAGTTGATTCCCTCACATGGCCCGCAGCTAAACGATCGGCAAAGAACTTGTCGATCGCAAGTACTTGTTCACGAGGCAGTGGCCACTGCTTCATGACACAGTACTTCGAGCCTGGTTTAAGCTCGACCTCGTGTCGAATACCTTTATCCTTCGGTAATTCGCACGGAACAGTTTCAGGGAATACATCCTTGAATTCAACCAAATCTTCATAGAGAGGATTTTTCTTGAGCGATTCCCATTATTGGGAGTCATATCGCTCAATTCGTGTCTTTTCATCCAGGACACTCTCGTCCATAGATGAACTACTGAGAAATCTCTCGTTCTCAGTGAACACTGTTGCTGACCTTATGTCGGTTACACACTCGTCGTCAGAGACGAGTATGCAGATCTGCTTGACTTTGCCACTACGCAGATCACGCAATAACCTTTTATGTTCGAGCGTTGGCAACTGAGTGATCTCCGAAGCCAACTTCGGAGGCGCAATCAGATCAAGTGTATAAGCGCCTACACTTGATCCGTTATTGACTATGACATTCAATGTCTCTGTCATTTCCTGGGGACTTATTCCCTCAGGCTTCGAAGGACTTATTCCTTCGTCTTCCCGTGGACTTATTCCCGCGGGTTTCGGGGAACTTATTTCCGCCGTATTTGTAATCTTGGGACTTATTCCCTTTACTTCCTCTAGCTGGGGTTGCGCAACCACAGCGAGATCCTCTACGAAAGACTCTCCAGTCGATCTAGGATTATCGTTTCGCTTAATCTGAGCGATCGATTGTTTCTCTTCTAGATGTTCCCCGCTAGGGATACATCTTTGTCCCAGTCCACCCGACTTATTCGAGTGGTGGACCTTCGGCGCAGCCTGCGTTTCCTCACAGCCGCCGGAACTTTGCTCCGAAGTGTAACCGTTTGGTACACCAAGGTTTTGTGCAGTCGTACTAACGACCGTACCACAAGTGAGGCCATCGCACTCACTCGTAGTACATCCACACGCTTGTGGACGCTCCAAAACGTTCATCATATGGCCATCTGATGAACAAGCGGCAGGCATCGTTACTGTCCGATGTTGCCAGTTTACCCGTGGTTCGTACCTTCTGAGCCACGGTATTCCAAGGATGACATCAAATTTGTCATCCAAATCCAATACGATAAAGTCATCGTCATATTGGGTATCTTCTAGCGTATTGTGGATCTTCACTATACGCTTCATGACGGTTACGGATGCGCCTGTCGCAAGACGTACCGTCATCCTCGTAGGAGGTGTGTCACACTCAACAAACTTAAAATGACCATCTTCTAGCGATTGGCGTCGCACAAAATTGTTGGACGCCCCACAATCGACTAGAGCTCGAAGGGACAACTCATTTGTCACTTCGAGTTTCAAGGTAATGAGTGAGACCTCATTACCTAGAGCAGCAACGCACAACGTTTGTGTGTTGGGAGCAACCTTCATCAAGAGGCCTACAAATTCTCTTGACATTGCTAGACCAGTAGGGTGCTCCGCACCTACTGATCCTGTCCGTTTTTTGACGGTCCATCCCGTTGTTGCGTCTTTGCACCAACTGCGGACCCTCGTCCCTGCCCCTTTCTCATGGGTGGACGGTCATTACGCCCAGTGTCGCGAGACACTGGACGAGGGGCACTACACTCGTAAGCGTAGTGTCCTGTCTTTTGACATCTGTTGCATCTCTGCAACTTCTTGTAGCCTGTAGAGCGAGCCTTCTCGCTCTCTACATAACAGAGTTCCATCGGCTCTGGACCTCCGTTGTCATATCGTCTCGGTTGACGATATGATGTCGAGCTGGCGCGAGCCTGTCTCAGACTGAAGTCTTCCTGCTCCGCAATGGAAATGGCTTGTTCTAGTGAATCTAGTTCAAGCCGGAACAGGTGAGTCTTGACGGGACCATCCGCAAGACCCTGCATGAACACCGAAACCAACGTGTGTTCATCCACCGGATTGGAACTTATACAACTCGTGAGATGTCGTATATGTTGCGCGTAAGCGTGCACATCACGCTTACCCTGTTTGAGCTTCAAGAGTTCGGTTCGAGCCCTGAATTCAGCTCTAGGCGGTTCAAACGTTTGTCTGAGCCGCGACTTGAAGACTTCCAACAACCCAAACGCATATGGGTCGTGCAACTTGAGCCCCAGTGCCCAAGTCTTGGCACGTCCTGCCAGATTTGACTGGGCAAATGCAACTTGCATATCCCCGTCGTCGATGCGACGCGCCCTTGTGGCGTCATCCAATTCGACGAACCATCTCAAGAGGGAGTCTTCTTCGACCCCCCTATACTTGGAGATGTCAATCTTCAAAGTCTCGGGTCGACGCGAGTGCATCGATCCGCCAGCAGCAGCCTGCTGCTGTCTCAACAGTTCAAACTGTTGAGCACCCTGTTCTCTCAACAACTCTGCTTGTTGAGAACCTTGTTGGTGAAGCAAGGCTACTTTCTCGCGTTCAGCGTCAAGTTCATTTTGAATGAACTTGGCGATAGTAGCATGTTGGGCATCTCTATTGAGAGCCTCTAGCATGACGCTAACAGCATGGATGCCCATGGTCGAACCCATTCGTTCAACCGCATCCCATTCGACATCGCTCAAATGGGAGTAGCCGTCACGCGTAGCGTGAAAGCTTTGGTCATCTTCATCATCCAACATATTCATGTTAGATGTGAACGTGGTCCTTGGACGGACTACGAAGTGCTACCAGGTGTAACGGGGCACCCTGAAGCTTGTACTGGTGACAGTACAAGCTACTTATTCTGATGACAGAATAAGGCGGTGCCTCGTAACTTCACGTACACTCGTACGTGCAGAGGAAGACGGTAAGAAGAAGCGAGTACTTGGTTAAAGTAAAAAGTAGAACTGTATTTATAATAGTTAATGTCTGCAATAAATCACTATTTATCTTCATCTAACTATGTCTAAATACAAATGTGTAAATCAGTTATCTGCTCACCACTCATTGCGTGCGTCTGTCGTGGCGCGTCTTCGTTGGTTGATATAATGGCCTATATCAACCAATTAGGAACTACTCGTAAGTGCTACAGAATATTTGTCCTTATGACAATATTCTGAGAATATAACTCTTATAGTTATATTCTATTAACAATTTCTTATAAATTGTTATGTAACGATTCACCCCGTTACACTCTCCAACAATAGAACGGAGTTCGTGAATAAGATTTTGGCTCGAATAGGCCAACAGAAGAGCAAATACACTAATGCTTTATTCCATACAGCCCTCAACATAATAGAGTAGCTGAGCGCACGAACAGGATGATCAAAGAGAAAGCCCACAGTATGCTACACTACAAGATAGTTTCGACTGAATGGTGGGCGAAAACTGTGAGTTCAGTGGTGCATTCATAAAACGCTTTACCAATATGGCTGATCGTGACATCACGCCGTACGGGTAGGATTTCAAGATGAAGCCTCAAATGGATCACCTACATGTGTTCGGGTCGCAAGGTTATTCTCATGTCAACGATACAAAGTGGACGAATCTGGAACCCAAGGGCTTCAAGTGCGTGTTCCTCGGATATGCAGAGAATATCAAAGGGCTACCGAGTGTATGATCCAGAAAATGCCAAGGTCAAGATCACCCGCTCTATGAAATTGAATGATCGTGAAGTGGACGGCATTTACGGCGAACAAGCGATAAAAGCAAGAAGCAATCATTCATGTGACTAAGGATAATGATGAAGGAAAAGCTCGGCATCACGCGGATCTGCAGCCTGATCTGGACGAGCCTATATAATCTGTCGAAGATCCAGTCATAGACGTCGAAATGGAAGATGTAGAGTGTACGCCAAGAGTTGCTGTACCACATGTAATACTTTCAGAAAGACATCTTAGGAAAAGACTGGAGTTAGCATAATATCAACAGCAGCCTCGAAAGCAACAAGAAGATCGATCAGTGTTCCATCCAATAGTACATTGCTTAAAGAGGAGACGTGAGCCAATGCTGATGATTGGAAATGGATCAGAAGACGAAGAGTCGAAGGAAGGAAGTGACGATCGACCAACTCCGAAGCTTGCATGGATCGACGAGGACGGTGTCCGTGCGGAAGCTGTTTTGGATTACGCGGTTAACACTGGCGAGGATGCCGACTTACCAACCACGTATGCTCAGGCAATCGCTTGTGACGAAGCAGAAATTTGGCACAAAGCAATGAACGCTAAGCTTCGTTCACATGAACATAGCCAGACCTGGACACTAAAGCCACAGAGTGTGAGTGATCGCACCTTTGGATCGCGATTGGTATTTTCCAAGAAACGTGATTAGAATGGCTCTGTCGTGCGATACAAGGCACGACTAGTCGCGAAAGGATTCAAGAAGAAGTACGGTGTCTACTTTTTCGAAACTCATTCACCGGTCGCCAACATAAACCCTATCCGAATCACCCTCGTGGTATGTGCTAAATTCGACTATCAAATGAAGTAGATGGACGTTGAAACAGCCTGTCTAAACAGTGGTGCTGACGGAAAGTGTCGATATAGATATTTACAATTGGTGTAGAAAATGCTCAAAGATAAGTATGTCAGCTAAACAAGGCTACATACGTGCTGGAACAAGCAGCAAGTGCCTCTATCAAGACAATTCATCGTGTCTTCGTCGAGAATGGTTTTAAAGGATGCAGTGCGGATCGGTGCTTTATGTCAAGCGCTCCCACGAAGGCTTTATCTACGTTTGACTCTACGTCCATAATATGATAATTACAGCCAGAACAAGCAACGATGTCAATCAGGTGAAGGAAGTGCTCAAGACTGCTTTCAGAATGAAGGTGATGGGCAAGTCAGAATTTATTTTAGGCATGGAAATTGATCACGACAGGGCAGCTAGGACAATCATGATCAAGCAGACTCGCTATATCGACGACATGATTGAAAGGTTTGGACAAAAACTCCCAAGGGTGTCGACAATCCATGTGCATCAGGATTAAATCTGTCGTCATCGCAGTCGCCTACTACAGAAGAGGGACGTTCGGTCATGCACTTGAAGACATACCGTTCTTTTATTGGTTGTCTTCTGTACATCGCTACATGCACGCGACCTGACGTTGCCTATGTGGGTACACATCTGCCATGTTTTGAAAAATTACCCGGACACAACATTTTAGCGCAGCAATTTGTTTACTGCGCTACCTGAAGACTACTCGTGAAACCGGTGTCGTCAACCAAGTCAGTGGCATGGTTGTGGTCAATGCATACTCAGATGATGATTGGGGCAGCAATACCCATGACAGATGCTCAGTTTAAAGCATTATAATCACAATTGCGAACGCCCCAGTAGTGTTAAAGTCGAAGTACCAGCGAACAGTTGCACTCAGCTCAGCCGAGGCTTAATATATGGCTCTTAGCCTATGCACGCAAAGAAGTTTTATGGACGCGTGCGGTGCTTAAGGACATGGGTCACAAGCAAGTGGAAGGCACACAGGTAAAGAACGACAATTAAGTAGCGATAGTCTTGGCCAGCAATGCCGGATACCTCTCTCGGACAAAGCACGTAGAAATAAGGCACCACTTTATTTGATAGAACGTGCGACAAGGATTACTGAAGGTCGACTACATTGACACCAAGAATCAGCTTGCAAACATGCTGACGAAGGCACTTAGGGATAAGATGCTGAAGATTCTGTGCGAGTCAACGGGTACCAAGACCGAGGCGACACTGAAACCAACACAGCTTTAGCGGCGCGTGAGGTTGTTGATCTGACGCCGCTCAATACATGTTCGAGAAGGCCGACTACGTCACAGATTTACGGTCATGCTTATGGTAAGTTTCATAGTAACATACATTGATTATGGACATGCAGTCAGTCGTTCATTGGTCTCATTAAATCAGGTAGTATGCAGAAGGATTAGAGGTAGCAGGGTTGAGCAAACTAAGGATCTAGCTAATGTGTTCACTTCGCATTCTATCTTCTACCCAGCAGATAGTTGGCGGTAGTTTGTCTAGAGGTCTATACGTTCCTAGCTCTCATTACACAGAACAAGTAATCATTGTCAACATGCTGTATCATAAATACTACCGGGGACACCGGCAAAATTGATGGTGGTGAGCGGATCGGCGTACCCCCCCCCGCCGTGTGGCACGCCCACAAGAGTGAGAAAATATGGGTGTTCTTGCAACAGCGAAGTAGGGGACTTTGGTCTTAAAGAAGAAATATCGTTGCCCTGATTCTTATCCAGCAAGTCTTCACCATTACTGATTCTCGGTGAAAGTGTGCCTGAGCCGATCCTTGACGACCCCATTCTAATCATACTACATGTTTTGTGAAGCTTAAGCTCATAGGCCAAAACTGGTACATTCGCAGAATTTGACAGGGCTAAAGTCAACGTTATTGCATTGTCTTCGATGCGAAATTCCCTGGTTGCATTTTCGTGCCTGGCGGACCGTTGCAATATTGAGTTGCCTTCAGCTTCCTTACATTTGGAAATATCATCTTGATGTGTTCGGGTCGATGCGAAGACGTGTAACCGGATATAGAATATAGAAATATGGTATGTCACGGAATCGGCGAGTCACCTTGTCGGATCCGTACAGCTCACGCATTTAAAGCCCTTATCTCTTAATCTGTCACAGCAAATCAAGTAACCGGCTGCGGCCGCAACTGGATGGTTTCTATCGAGATGGAATTTCGAATTATCGGCGGATTATGTGCTGACAATTTATTCATTCGCTTGAATCTTGCCATTTTATATTAAATGATTAAAACTGATCTCCACATGTTGCGTGAAACGTGATTTATCGGATGGGATTCCAAGGTGGACGTTCTTTTTGGCCGCTAAACATCCCACGAAGTACAAGCAGATGTGGATAGACACCTTAAGTTTGTGATGATAACATGGCACTAACTGACAGTGGATGGATGTGCTATGATCCTTCACGTAAGCACTTGTAAAAAAAAATTAGACAACGAAACAAAATGCTTAAAGAATGGCAAAATGTGAATGTTATTGTTAGTATGATCAATTACGTCATTCTACATGCTAATTTAGATAGATTTAACAGTTAGCATGTATTCTAACAGTTTTTCCTTCACTCATTGCGCGCGCTTCTACTTGAAAGGTAGACATTTGGATCACATTACGACTAATGTCATCCGGTGGGACAAGTACTACTACCCTTGTATCCTCTTGTGAGGAACATAATATCATCTACTTCAACTAAAATGTCCACCTTGACAACAAATTGAAGTCAAAATATGTAAAGCGGGTTCATTCTGTGACGTTATTGGTCGTGAAAAAGTCTGGATCATTTTAGGTAGTAGCACATATAAATACAACAAGTTGTCCGAACTCGCGCTTTATAGGAATTTAAACCAAGTAACACTAGTGTTTTAATAGAACTATTATTTAGTAATTTAATTCCTGATTCAGCAATGTCCAGCAGTTGACAAGTATCGAGAGCACATTTGTCGAAAATTTAAGGGATGTTCGGTGAAACGTTTTACATAGGAAAGAGTCGCTTGTTCGGCATATCCAGAGAGATGGAAAGACGAGCGCGTTTTGCAGCAGTCTACTAGATGTAGAGTAAATTGGCACGAATATTCTCGATCTTACTTGTATTTGATTCGGAAGATGCGTCTGGAAAGTTTTGTTAGGAAGGAATTGCCATAGCGTTATCCTTAAAATGATGGAGCAACAAAGTGGCACAAGCACCATTTTTAGAAACCAAGTTGGAGCCGAACGATTGTCTCAAATTTCATTTCTTTGCCGTGAAGAGTTGTAGCACGCTAGATAATAACGAAACTAATGACACTCTCTCTTTTGTATCTAAATGTGCGTCCTCCAGTTGTTATGTTACAATCGATGTTAAACAGGAATAAGGTCATGACTTCAGAGCCCACGAACTCAGACTGTTCCTGGATGTACCGCATGGGCGACTAGGTAATCGTGCAATAAATAATGATGGTGTGTTCGTCATCATTAAAACCAGTAACGAATCTAGTAGAATTGAAGTAGTAAAAGGGTTTTCGGACGACATATCGGAATAGTTCATGGGTTATTGAGCCACTTCAGACAAAGTGGTGATCTTCTCTGCCCTAGCCGACCATATGATTCTATCTTTTGGCGCAAAAAGAACTGCGGCTTACCATAATCAAAACACCTTGCGATTTTAAATCACGTTATTTTTTACTTTTTTTCGGAGCCCATTTACCTGTAGCAATTGGATAAGAGAGTCAGTCAAGCCATCAGTCAGATAGAAGTTATAGTAGCAAGCGTCTTCGTCCCTTCAAGAAAATTCGTTCACCCTACCATTCTACACCTTGAGAGATTCTAGACGATGCGCAAATGATCTAGCATGTGCCTTATGCTATACAGCTTACGTACTTCACGACGGGACACCTAAAACTCCGGAAGTCGCTAAGCTTGGTAAGCTGAGTAGTGTTGGATCGTTCATCAGAAATTACGTAAGGCACTGACACAAAAAAAGCGCAATACTGAGCGCTAGCTGAGCCCGTTTGGTGTGAATGAAACATTTTGTAATGCAGAATGATGTCCAGAAGATTTGGAAAGAGAAGATACGATAGCAGCAACGGTCAGACTTGGTGTATAGAACAGGTGGCAGCTTCGATCAGCTTATGATCGCCAGTATACGTCTAATGATCGTAACCCAAAGAGACCAGAGCGAGGTCAGAATGTAGGCATGAAGCGTCACGTCACAGCTCAAAATGATCGATTGAGTACTGGATTATCTTCTATTCGGCAGCACTGGCATGCGGCACGACAAAAGGAAAATCCTGCGTTGTCTACTTCCACACCTACGCCATCTCACGTGCTTGAACTCGAGTGGGTCATTGTACCGAGCCCGTAGCTGCAGATCCAAGCCGCTTCACACGTCAGATCTCACCATTCCGACGGCTCTCGAGCATCGTGACGGCATCTTACGGTCATCACTTGTGGCGATTAGAGGTCTCTCGTGGTTATCCAAAACTTTGCATATCGACAGGGGGTCCGTACTTTTGATTATGCTGCAACGTCTGTGTCAAAGACAGAGGACAGGAAAAGTATCTTGCTTTTCGAGGATAAGGGATCGATGATGGCACTGACTCGATGTGCACGCGTCAACACCTGCATAAACTAGAAATACAGCATTCTCTTTCTTAGGTCCCATTTTCTCATAACAGTGGGCTAGAAACAGAGTCACTGTTACTTTACACATACTACACCCCACTTCCGGTCATGTATAAACGCGCTACCCGGTCTTTTTGACGATGTATTCGGATCAAAGCTGAGTATCGAAACGTCTTACGGTTCGCTTTATGCTGCTTATCCCGATTAGCGTAAAATGCCGGTTTACCGCCAATCAGATTCGCTGAATCTTCCGTCGTCCGCGCCGAAGAGCTACAGATACCGATGGACGTGCGCGAGGTCCTACGCACGACTCTAGGCTGGGACTTTTCCTTTGTGTCTTCAGACCCGTCGGTTGCTCGGTGTCTCGTGGCGCACCCAGACGATGTGTCGCGATTGGCTGAGTGGCTCGTGCGCGAGCTCCCGCCGTTGTCGTCGCCAGCAAGTACCCAAAATACGATTGGGAGGAGCCCAAAACAAGACAAACGTAGCTGCCCGCGGCAATTAGAAATACGTTTAGCAGAAGAATTAAGTTTCAAAGGTTCTGTACGATCATTGCCATCGTCTGTGCGTACAACTCAAGAAGACCGTGAGGTCGACCGAGAGCTCGGGACGCTGCAGCAGCAGGTGCGTCGACGTCTCAATTGACTGCAGTAAACATGCGGCATTTTCATCGTGTACTGTTTTATGATATTAGGCATTCAGGAAATACTGACAGAAGTGTATTCTTGTTTATGGCGATCCATTTTTCATTGGTATACGAATCGGCAATGAAATTGAGGACGGAAGGTCTCGATCCAAGCAGTGCTCAAGCGCTTGTATACAGATGTGCCATTGTATACACACGACGACAACGAGGTGGCTACACGAAACTTATTCGAGAGGCAGGCGACGTCGTGTAACGCCCACTTACCCACCCTTCGAGGTGTGGTGAATCATATCAAGGGGAAGGGTTGTTCGTCTACAGCGACTTCAACTTCAACATACACTTTTGCCATGTTCGAGTACAACTCGCAGTCACTTCAGGACGTGCTGAAGTACAATCGAGCGGTACTGGGCGACAATCGAGATGTCGATGTCCAGTATGGACCTGATGTGGCCCCAAGCAAAGAAGAGCCAGATGCGCTTGGAGATTTGAAAAAACGTCTCGTACTGTTCCAGCTGAGTCGCGTGCTCCAGTTCTTACACGAGAGAGGACTTGCTTGCAACGGGTTCTCCCCACGAGATTTGTACCTCACGGATACATTGTGGCTACGTCTCGCTGCACTGCACCGCGTGCTTGACGTCTGTACCAAGGGTTGTGCAGCAGCATCTGAGTGTCGTGGTGGTGGAGACGATCATGACCGGGTACAAAGTGTGGATCTACCGGTACCTCGCGATCTCATTACGTGCTCTTCAAGATCCATTACGGACCGCTGGGTCACTGGCGACGTCAGCAACTTTGAGTACCTTATGGCACTTAACATGGCAGCTGGACGGCGTATGGAAGACGGCGTGTTTCACCCGTTTCTACCGTGGGTCACCGATTTTACTGCTGGTCCACACGGTGGCTGGCGAGATCTGAGCAAGAGCAAGTTCCGCTTGAACAAAGGAGACGCACAACTTGACCGCACGTTTGCCAGCAGCGCCGTGCCTCATCACATTACCGAGAGTTTGTCCGAGATCACGTACTATATTTATATGGCAAGGCGGACACCGATGGCGCTGCTTCGACGTGTAGTACGTGGCGATTTCCAAGCGCGTGAGTACCCATCGACCATGGCACGCATGTTTGAGTGGACACCTGATGAATGCATTCCGGAGTTCTATGCCGACTCTGCTGTCTTCAAGTCACTTCATGGTACCAACATGGAAGACTTGCAGGTTCCAATCTGGTCCGATGTCAATGGCGATGACGTTGCTTCAGTGTTTGTACGACACCATCGGGCGATGCTAGAAAGTGACAGGGTGTCAACACTGCTGCACAAGTGGATTGACTTGAATTTTGGCGCCGCGCTGAATGGCGCAACTGCAATTCGCGAGAAGAATGTCCCGCTCGTCGTACACGCTGCGAACAAAAGTCCTGGCTTCGTGCAGCTCTTTACGGACCCACATCCAAGACGTATATGTTGCTGTCCAGGACAAAAGCAGCAGGAACCAAAGATACAATCGACAGTTGATCTTGCCGGGTCGAAAACCAATTCACCACGAGCTGCCCTACGGCCACCAGGGTATACTAGAAAGGAGGTCAATGTTATGCTTTCGAGAGCGATGCAAGTTGTGACGGACACCCAAAAAGATGGCGAGTGCCTGTCTTCATCAATTGGAGGCACCGCATCAGGTGGAATGAGTGTCACGGGAGGTGGAGGAAGAGCGGGTGGTCGAGAGGTTGAAGTGTCGCGCCTTGGGCTTCTACAAGGTCAAGGCAGCATGGAAAGTGCTGCCGGTACAAGTGGAGCTGCCGGGACGAACTATGGCGGAATGGCAGCAGCGTCTCCGAATGAAGCTACTCGTAGCCAAATCATTATGCGCAATCTAAAGCAACGTCGACGAGGAAACAAGTCTCGAGCACGATCGCAACCGAATGGAGCTGGAGCTGACTCAACACCACCTCCTTCAACGCTTATGCTCCACGGTGGACGGGATGCTCTGTCGCCTCCAGTATCTGGATCAATTGGGATGAGCTCCTCAAGGCTTGGCCACCTTTTCCATTCGGACTCAAACAACAACAACAGCAGCAGCACTCACGGCGTGTTCCCAATTCCTCTAGAAACGTCAGTCAGTCCGCCGAACTCGATGGAGTCTGGTACTAGCTTTGGTAACAATGCCAACAACCGTAGCCTGACGACTACCGGTAGTCTCACGGAGCATTTGCGTGTGCTCACAATTTCGACACCTCAGAGCGTAAGTACCAACGTTAATCGAGAGTCCGGTGGATCAACTGGAGGTCGAGGCTCCCTGTCACATCACACTCGTCATTCTTCTCTCGGTAGTGATGGATCGAACACTGGTTCACATTTGCTACGTGACTTGTGGCAGCAGCTACGCCAGCCTGAGGATGATGGCTCACTAGGAACGAGCATTGTTGGCGGGCAAGGAAATAGCCAAGTACATGGTCATCATCGAAGCGGAAGTGCTGGTCACGAGCTGGCATTAGCTCTCGGCGGAACAGCAGGTGATATGCAGCTCTCGGACCTAGATGCTGCTAACGATATCGATCCTGCTGTCGACGTCTTTGGACCACTTGACGATGTGGATTTGAAGTTACTCCAACTTGGACTACCGATCGTTCTTTGTGACGATGAGAAGGAGCCGAAAGTTGACGCTGACGATGATACACATGGGCTTGGAGCGGAAGCGTCGAGGGCTAACGGGCAGCAAGCAGTCGCGGATGCAATTGTCGACCCGATATATTGTATTCCGGACGAGCTGGTAAGCCATACAGCACAAGAGCTGGCTCTGTTTCAACGTGCTCAGGCTGCCGATGTATTTTCCATGGGCTGTATCGCTGCTGAGCTGTACACACACAAACCAGTGTTCTCACGGCGGTCTCTTGAAGACTATCTGTTTGCTTACTCAAAGCAGCAGAAGCAAAACGCGTCTGAAAACGTGATAGCTCAAGCGGACGGCTGGATCTCAGGCATATTAGCTGCTCAGTGCAACGCAAAGATTTCTCAGCATCAGCTTCCATGGAACTATGCTCTGTCCGAACGGCTTGTTGGGTTACCACTCAATCTGAAGCAAGCGGTGTTGGATATGCTTCATCCAGATCCACACGAGCGACTGCTTCTCGCAAGTAAAATCGACGGATTAGAAGCTGTCGTGCTAGACAAGTCGACTTGCGCTATGAGCAGCAAGGCTTGTGTACCATCGACACCATCGCCGGATGCATTTCGTGCGGCTCCGTCTGCGCTGTTTCCAAAAGACATGATAATGGTGTATAGCTTCTTGACCAAGCTGCACAGCATTCCAGAGCGCGACTGGCATTCGCGATTCACTGCGGCACGACACCTGTTGTCATCACTCTCTGGTCTGTCCGAGATCCATTTTCGTGTAGCAATGCCAGAGCTAGTGCGCTGTTTCCGAGCAAAGTCACACACCGAGACCATTTGCGCTGAACGTGTGGCTGCTGCTGTGATTTTCTTGCTTCCTGAAATGGCACGTCAGCTCGGACGTGAACGAGCTCGGGTTGAATTACTGCCTGATGTGGTGCGTGTCTACGAAAGCAGCGAGCTGGGGCGCTCATCACTTTTGCGCTGTTGTCTAGGAGCACCGAGCGTGTTGCTATCGCTTTTACGTGCATTTGGAGCTGCAGTGGTCCTCGACAGCATTGTTCCTGTCGTGCTGGAGTGGCTTGTGCCACCTGTAGCAGCCGATGCCGATGCCGAATTGAGGTCGTCACTGACGTCGCTGTCTCTACGTGCGCCACCGCCACTGCCATTTGCTGCTGAATCGGCAGCACTCACTGCCGTAACCTTTGGCGAGTTGTCGTCGTCAGCAATGTTAGGCCCATCGCTGACCGCCAAGTACTTGTTGCCAGCATTGCTGACTCAACTGGGCCACGTGAAGAATCGCTGGACACGCTTGGCAGACAACAAGACGCTCCGACGGACTGATAACAAGGGCAGTGTGGCCCCAGCTCTTAGCGAGGACAGCGAATCGCATCGAAGTGCAGAATTCCACATCACGTTCTTGTCCAAGTCCAAGCTTTACGAATCGCATCACGTAGCTGATGCAGTGTTGCAAGTGTGCCGTGAATTGGGTGAGTTCCCTTTGGCAACTATGCTGCTGCCTCGGCTATTGGAGGTGCTGCCGCGACTCGTCTCTCTCTCCGAGAAAATCGGCTCCGTGCGCATCGAAGGAGTTCCAGTACGTACCCTTGCTTTGGCCTTGATACCTTCTCTCGCTTGCATATTGCGACGCTGACGTCTCGCACCAATCGTGCATGTACAGGACGAGCTGGGGCGCGAAATCTACGTATTGTTGCGCATTCTCAGACACGTGGTCCGTACGCTGAATGATGCAGCCTTGCTCCAAGACCTCTTGTCTCGACGATCGCGAGGTAACCTCATGGAGCTATTGAGACAAGCATCTCCGCCTTTTTTGCATCCCCGCATGGCAACCGCTGTGATCGCGGCCGCTACATCAGGCACACAGCCAGCGGCATCGATGCAAGCGCCTACTGCGAGCTCGACCAAAAAGAACGTGCTGCGCAGTCTCAATTTCATGCGGGAAGCGGATCACCGCAGCTTGCGCGCTTTCACGGTGGTGGGTCTATCGCGCACGATCGTGGCCGTGTGTCAAAAGCTCGGCGCAGAAGCTACCGTGGCCGACAGCTCGACTGTTAGCGGCATCAACTCCTTCCTCAAACGATGCAGTGACGTATATGCCGAGCTCGAAGTGTCCAACTTTCAATGGGATCTAGCCAGCGAGTTGGTGAGTGAGCTCTGCGTGCCGCTTCGCACGCTCTTGGGCAAAGAACTGTTCAACCGAAGCTTTCCAATCGTTGCAAACAGCTCCGTTCTTCAGCTTCTGCTACTGCCTCTCAGCAGCAGTGCGGACGTCGGTACCAGCAAGACTGGCGGCTTCAACAGTCGAACCGTTAGCAATGACCAGCGGAACGTGAGTGCTCTTGATGACCGATTAGCCCAATCGCAGATCCAGCGACGACAACAGGTGCCCGTGGCAGGAGAAGCGAACGGCGAAGATGCTGACGATGATGATGATGATGATAACGATGAGGAGGAGGAGGACGGCGATGAGAATGACGAGAGTACCGGCACCAGTGTCACCCCACGACCAGACGTAGAGGACCCCATGAAGCACACGCCCGAGCTATTGCGCTTCGCGTACCACGCGATTCGACTGCATTCCGTTCGCGCAACCAGTTTCCTCCGTGTGCCATCCAATGTACTCATGGGAAGTACGAGCAAGAAAGCAGCGCAATGGGAGACTGCTCTCAGCAAGGAGGTATCGCTCTTGCAGGAATCCCGTCGCCGGCGCAAAGTGACGAACTCTGCAGTGGCTCCAGAACGCGCTGGAGCAGCTGACGCCGTGTGGCTTCGACCTCGAGTTCGTCACGTATTTGAGGCTCGACAAGACGAAGCGATGCCACACGTTCCAGTCAGTGGCTTGGACAATAATGGAGGCAGCAGCAATTGTGGAGGTGGCGGAGTGCCAGGACAGTCGTGGGCTCTAAGTGGAGACATCCGCCAGTCCATCAAAGCTCATTCCAGTGCCGTTCGATGCGTGAGCGTGGACGCCGACGAGGAACTGCTCTTGACTGGAAGTCGCCATGGATCTTGTCGCGTCTGGCGCTTAGCAAGTCACCCGGTTCAAGCTCGAGCTGCTGCACCAACCGGTGTGTTCGACAGTCGTCCAATTCTGCTGATCGCACGCACAGGTCGAGCAGCACCACACGGTCGTGGAGCAGGTGAAGCCGACGGTCTGGCCGCTGCTGCTTCAGCTTCCGGGGTCATGCTCTGGGACCTCCCGACCAGTCAATTGCGGATGCGGCTGCCGTTCCCCGCTACGCACGAGCCGCTTCTGTCCATGGCGACCGGACTTTCCACCTTTGATATTGCCGTAGCAACTGCCCGACGAGTTGTCTGCATTGACGTCCGAACGGGTCCACGGGTAGTAGCGGAGTGGGGCGCTGATGCTGCGACCGTCACGTCTCGATTTGCGACAGCTGGCCGAAGTCTCAACTTGTCCGTCGTGGCAGCGGTTTTCTTGTACGACCAGAGCAGCTACGTCGCTCTTGGCACCACGAGTGGGTACATTGTGCTCTTGGATTCCCGAACCGGTGGCCACGTTGCCAAGTGGCAAGCGCTGGACACGAACACTCGAGTCGTGTACGTGAAGCAGCTCGCCGTGTCGTTGATCCTCGTGGTCGGAGCTGACAAGGAGGCGCGCGTGTGGCGTGTACGACCGTCCATGGACGACCGAAACAACGGGCTGCACGACCGACAGCTGGACATGGTCATTCACGGCGTGCCCGAAGGTATTACAGCGGCTCAAATATCAGTGCACACTGCACAGGACACGACTATTTTCTACGTCGCGAGTGGTGCGCGGGTCTACTGTGCCCAGCTCCCGATCGCGTCGCGGGGACACGTGTCCGACCAAGTTCTTCCCGTGGTCGTACAAATGGCAGCGTGGTCGCTAACAGAATGCAGCAATTCGGGTCGAAGCAGCAAGAGTCGAGTCGTTGCCTCGAGTATTGCAGTGCTCCCGCTGCGTCAACTCGTGCTTCTTGGCGCCGACGACGGCTGCTTAAAGTGTGTCGTCTAATGCTGTCCACACCCATGTACGTGTGTGGACGGCTGCGTCTCGTCATTTGTACAACGACGGGGCGAAGGCCATGGCCGTGTGGACAATGTTCGACGCAGTGTCGTCGTACAAGAGGACAGAAAAGCACTTTCACAAATAAAGCGTATTTTATTTTTCTTCTCATCAGGCACCAGCCCCCGAGCGCCGTCATGTAAACTATCGCGTTGCGAAGAAGGCGTAAGCTATTCATTCAGACCCTTGGCTTCGTTGATGGCGTTCTTGTGCATCGTAGCGATCTTGCGACGGTGCGACTGCCAGCCAGCCCCAGTGTCCTCCTTGTAGCGGAAAAGGTCCTGACGGTTCCCCTTGTTCCAGTTCACGTCCGGGTGGCCGGACAAGTAGCGCACGCACTGCGCCGTGCACAGACCCCCAGCGGCCACGCACGTCACGAGTACGGGCCACGTGCCCTTGTCACCGAGCCATCTCTTGGTAGCGCTCTGCGCTGCACGACCAGTCATTGTTGGAAAAAAGTGTGGAGGGTGGGAAAAAAGCGGAGAGTGGAAAAAAGTGTTTCGAAAGCGAAGCTGGACGCAAATTGCACAATGAGACGCTCTCTGTGGATGTGGTCGAGTGATGACAGAAAGAGTGTATACCCCTTGAGACTTGATTCTATTTTAGTTTGGGTAGCGTAGAAGTGTGTGTGAAGCTGTGGTGTGGAGGCTTATGTTGCTGCATCTGAACGTATCAGTGGCTGGGATCTGGTTTGGCATCAGGTTCTACGAGCCAGCTGAAACGCTTCAACGGCTGAAAAGATGCAGTGCGACCACTTGAACATGTTTTAAACACGAAAACTGCATGGTAAATGGCTTTACTATGTAGTGAGGTCGTTTTCTGAGGAGCAAAGGGCTCCTGCTGGTCCATGACTCTCCATGACTGGATTTTGCTTACCAGTACATAAGAATCGAACGGACCTGTTGTTCAGTCAGGACTTCCTTCACCGATGTCCATTGACTGTCTGGCTCTTTTTGCACGATGAATTCCCAGTATCTGAGGAATTAATTGATGTACAAACGGTCGAGACGAACGAGAGGCGACTAAAAGGATGTTTATGATTCGAAGCGGTAGATGAATACGACCGCTTGTGTCTTGACACGCAACGGATCCAAATTTCGTCATGGGACTCAACGTTATCGCCATGGCTCAGATCCACGACATCAGATGCCACGTTGTTCATCGCAGCAGCGAACAACATCGGAGGCGGACGAAAATACATGGCAGTCTAGCGCGTACCTGTCATTGATAGATCAGGCAGATAACACATTGGGACGCACCTTTGTGGGTCGGGTCGGGTCCGCAACGAAGATAGCAAGTTTACTGCAGAATGTAGTTGGGCGAGGTCACAATGTGTCGGATAGCTCTGATCGTGAAAGTGAACGGAGACTGGCGCAACATAAGATCCGCAACCATTGCGCTTTTCACGCTCTTCACGACAAATTAGCGGTCTCGTCATGCGACACAGGTGCGCTACTACTGCCTTATCGCGCATTCAATTTTGCCTTTTTCACCTCCTTCGTCTGTCCCGATACATACAGTGCACTCGCTGGCTCCTTCGCTGCTCTTGCCGGTCTGTTAGGCAAACTCGGTGCGGACAGCGACTCGAGGGCATTGCGCTTCGTTGAAACGCAGTGTCTATCCTCGTCTCTATCCGACTCGTGCGCTCTATTGAGTTTTACGGCGCGTCTGTTGTGTCTGGCGCTAATGCTCAGCGCGAATGGGCTCATGCTCCGATGCTTTATGAAAGGGCTGCACGAGACCGACTCTCTCACGGCCACAGTCACGAGCGCTGCAGTAAATTTCGTGCTCGCAGCCGCTGGCGGGTCGTTGTTTTTCCAGGAACATCTGTCAATGCGCTGGTTCATCGGAGCTTTCATGGTGCTATCAGGAATAGCGTTGCTACTGTATGGGGAGAGAAGCGACGACAGACACAAGAAGACCAAGCGGGAATAGAAACACGGGACTCTTTTGACGTGCAAGCGGGCTCGACTCTCCTGTCTCTCCTTCTCTGTCATTGTGTCCACTACATTTTTGTAAACGGTCTAGCTCAAGTCGTCAGGAAGCCCGTTGCTGCCACAGACATTAATGGCGGCTGGCCAGTGGTTGAGTTCAGCCAACTCAAGCCACGAATGCGACGGGTAGCCGGATGCGCTAAACCAGTCACTGAATGCGCGAAGCGACACTGCTCTGTCAAAGTTCGACGTTGCGTCGTCCGGCAACGATTCGACAAACGACTGCAAAACAGCATCTGCACCGAGGTCGGCAGAGTCGCGCGCTATCTCGGCACTCAGCGAGCTACTGATGCCGTAGAATGCCATCAAAAAGCACGTGAGGCTGGACTTGATGGTCTTGAGCTTCACCATTTGACAGTCCACTTTTCCATCCTCATTCCCACCCTTCCCGGCGTTCGCTCCGTCTCCATCGTTCATCAATAATGCACAGCACTGGAGCTTCTCAAACATCGAACCTTTGCAAACGACGAGCAAACCACAGATTGCTGCGCCCATGTCCATGAAACCCTCGGGCTCGTCATCGTCCACACCATCGCTCGCAATGTCTCCATCCGCATCGTCAGCAGCAGGTTCGTGCACGAAAACACCAAGTAACGAATGTAGCATCTCCATCGCCTCGTCGTCCAACAATTCAACTTGGTCTTCCAATCCACTCGACGGCTTCGTGACGTGTAATCTTCCACATACTGTTTGTAGCGTGCGCAAAAATACGCTGCGTCGCGTCAGCATTTTACCACCACTATTGGTAGCGGGAGAACCGAGCGCTTTCAGGATAGCACCCCGTAGCTCCCACGAAGTCGCTGTGTGCAATTGCGTTTGCCGCAAGAATAGCTTGAGCGTCGAAATTTCCTCACTGAAAAACTGCAACTCTGCTGCGTCCTTTGCCACGGCAAAAACCATGACGGGGCCGTCCGAGCAGAGGCTTGTAGCACTGGCAGATTCGCGTGAGCTCAGTTTTGGACCTGGACCTGGAGTTGGAAGACCGCGGACAAACGGTGTTGATACAATGTCGCTCTGACGCACTTGTCTCCTTCGTGTTGCTGGCTTCACCGAATGGTGAAGTGGCTGCAGAGGCTCCACGACCATTGAAGCCGCTGTAGAAATCGGGCCGCGGTTCCGCGACCCCATAAGAGGGGCAACGCGATTGCTATGATAGACTGATGCAAGTCCAGCTGCAGACGACCCCATCAACGGATCCTGGAAGTCTTGCTGCTGCTGCCACTTGCTGCCATCGAGAAGTTCCACCCACGAAATAAGCTGGTAGCCGCCTGTGTTATACCACTCGCCAAACTGTTCGAATGTCACACGTGCACGAGAGCGCGCACTACCGTAAGCCGAAGGACCAGTAGCTACAGTACCGTCCGTACCTCCATTGCTAGATACATCCGTCATAAGATCGCCCATCGCTTCTTCGATAAAATCATCTGCCTCCACATAGATTTTCTCCAACCCGAGACGGTATGTCCCATCGCTGAGTGCCATAAGCGCTAGCAAAAATGACCGCAAGTAGATGAACAAAACTGAATGTGGAAGCGCATTCACCTCGGCTATCGATGGTGGCGGAGGCTGACGAGTTGTACCGCCCCTTGTCTTTTTCTGCGCAGCTGACGTGAAATCACGGGTACTTGGGAAGCCGGACGAGCCTATGTTCATCGAGAATTGACTGCCATGTGCACTCTCAATCCCGAATCCAAGTCCCCCTGTAGCCCCACTCTGTACTCCAAATCCACCCAAGCCTACGGAAGCGCTGTAAGGTGCTGGTGCATAGCTTGCGAGTGTTTTGTGGCGCTGCTGCCGCATTTTAGTGATAAAGTCAAACGCCAAAGAGAGCTTTTGGCTTTTGGAGCCCCTGCCCAGAATGCTCAGACCACATGCAAGTTCCAAAGCATTCACACGACCACAACGCTTGCGGTCGAACACGTTGAACAGACGTGAGAGTAACTTGGATGATGTCTGCTGCGCCTTCTCGGACATGTTCTCCTTAGATACCAAACTGCGCACACACTCGTAAAAGTTTGCTCGCGTCAACACGAGATATGCTCCTTCATCTTCTTCAACAGCAGCATACGAGTACATCTGGCCCCGCCGACTCTGAGTGCCAACAGCCTTGGACATCTTTAGTGCTTCCTCAGCTGACGGAGTAGCATAAGCTAGTAGCGCATCATAAACTTTACTTACATTCAGCTCGCTAAGCTTCGTCGAGCGCAGCATGAACAGATACGTCGATATGTCGCTCTCTGTGAAGTGCAGAATACTACCTTCTTCAAGCATGTCAAAAGCACAAAGTAGCGGCTTCTCGCGTTTGCTTGCCTCGAAGGCTTCCTTGGCCGGCCACTTCGACAGATCGAGAAGCTCTAACCATGGGCAGTCCATATAACCTCCTGCTGCATACCATGCTGCAAACTCAGCAAGACTAATGATGTCCGGACGTTTACATGTAGCCTCAGAGAACAACTTGGAAATAACAACGCCAGCTGCACGCTCGGCGACCGAGTTGTCACTACAGGATCTAGCAGAACCTGCGTAATTCGAGCTGCCGCGTGCAGCATCATAGCTTGAAAAAGCAAACAATACCACCAAAATTGACTTGAGCATTTCAAAAAGTCGGCGACGAGATACGTGGCCAATTCCGTGCGAGGCAAACAGTTTGAACAACACACTCAGCTTGGCGCTCTTCGTTGTTCCGCAGAACACGCACATACCCGCGACAAGATGTACAATCTCAACAGATTTGGTGCTCGTACCCACCCCATTAGCAAATGCTCCGCTTTGATTTTCCCTTTCGCCAGTGTTGCCATCTCCAGCAGATCCACTACCCTGCAAAACACTTTCTCGTTCAAAAAGCGTGAAAATACGCAACAAGTGGAACGAAAGAAATTCCTGGTCCTCATCTGACAGCTCGTCGCGTGGCACGAGGTGGCGCATGGCACGCAGGTAGCCCAATTTAGTCAGTGAGCGGTTCTGTGCATGTTTTTTCAGCAAATGCACAAGTTCGCCGCACGCCATCCGACTCAAATTCATGCGTTCGGAAATCGTGTAGACAATAGCAACGTCCTTTAAGCGGATGCGTAGGGTCGTGTTGTCAAAACTCGTCATCTTAAACTGCAGTGCCACCGAAGACAAATCTTTTGCTGCAGTTGTTGATGCTGTTGGAGAAGTGATAAGATTCGCGATGCCGCTGACGGCATCCATGCCTGCTTCTACTGCATAACGGTCAGTAGTCCGGAAGGCGCTAGTGTCAAGCAGCGTCATGTTGGAATCAGGAATATTCGGCACCAACGATTCGTGTATCCGATTCGAACTCTCGTTAGAAGACACCGTGTCATTGGAAGATCCCGAGCCAGTGCCTTCTGATCCCATTCGCGTAGCGTTTTCCAGCGCATGCTGTTGTCGACTGATGTACCGAAGAATTGCATCGGACACCGAACGAGGCACCTCTGGCCACTTTTTCGTGTCCAACAGCTCAATCCATGCAATAATCGTGTAGCCATGCTTCGAATACCACACAGCAAATTCTTCAAACGACACGACGCCTCCACGAATGAACGCACTTCCAGCGCCAGCACCAGATGTACGTGATGCGGCGCCAACGAGATGAAGGTTGGTGTCACCAGGAAATGACCCGCGGTGTTCATAACGTCCCTGACCTCGATGACGCAATTGGATCCTGTTCGAGGCCGAGTCGGCAGGTGTAGGAACGTCCAAACTATGTCGTTGACCATCGTTTTGCATGGTTAATATCGAGCGCCGAGTGCTAAGCGTCTTATCAGTGTCTTTGAAAATGCAATCGGCAATCTCAATCGCAGTAGTATCTGCAACACTAGCAATAGCTTCAGCAGACAGCTCCGAACCATTGCCCAAAGCTAACAGCATAGTCAAAAATGACCGCAAATACTTCCACATCTCTCTGCGAGTAAGACAGCCGTCTCCATCAGCGTCAAATAGTCGATAAGCAAACGCCAACTTTTCGCTCTTGGAGCCCGCACAGAAGATCGTAAAAGCGGCCACGAACTCAACCAAATCGATCTTGCCCGTTCCGCTACGATTAAAAGCGAAAAACAGACGGCTGAGTGTATCTGCCGCCATCTTCACTTCCTTTCCGCGACCTACACCCCGAGGTAGAACGCGGGCGTTGCTGTTTGCAACAAACGCGGCCGCCACGCTAGGAGCTAAATCGACAGGCAGTAGCTTTTCTACACATTTGTCAAACGTCCTCTTCTCGATGCAAGTGGAATGTGGTTCTTCCATATACGGCTCGAATGCATCGTACACTTGGTACAACTGCACCCGGTTGAGCTTCAGCACACGCTGCAATTCAAAGAACTGAATCAAATCGCCATTGTCGTAGCTCAAGCTCATCAGCGGAAGCTCTGTTACGGCATCGTTATCAGTGTCGAATGGCAGGTCGAATTCCAGCACGACCTCATTTTTCAGACAAATTGCTGGAAGTGTTGCAGGAACGCTACTGTTGTTCGATAGTACAGACGTGGAAGACAATTCGGCAGATGCCGCACTCACGTCTTTCTTCGCTGATAGTGCTTCACCCTCGTCATTTTCTTCATCAATAACATCAGCAAACGTGAAGTAGGGCTTGCTGACACCAACCTCTCCATCAACGTCCGCCTGGATATTGTTCGCTGTGTAATAATTGTTGCTTGCCACAACTGGATCTACCGAACGAGTATCAAGACCTTCCAACGCAAACAAAGGTGACACAAAGACCCACTTACGAAGATCCAGCAACTCTAGCCAGCTCATGGCTTTATAACCTCCTCCATTGTACCACAATCCAAAATCTTCAAAGGCGTACAGACCATGATGCGTTTCCGAACTCATGCGCTCACGACTACCGCCAACAGGTCCATCCACGCTGTTTTCCGCACTTTCATTAACAACAGAAGACGATCCCTCCTTTTCCTGACCGTCTTCACTGCTGCCGCGCTCGTCGTGCTCCTCTTCCCCATAAAACCCCTCCATAATGGCCGCCATGATTTCATCTTCTCCTTTGTCGACTAATTCCGCCAAAGAACCGTATCGCAGCACCGCTTCAGCTGGAGGTGACAAATGCAATAGCGTTATCAGAACAGAGCGCAAGAACCTCCAGAGCTGCTGCCGATTCAGACACTCCTTGCTGTCTGCGTCAAAATAATGAAACGCCGACACGAGTTTGTCGCTCTTCGATCCCCACGCCATCAAACTGAACCCCGCCGCGACCTCGAACGCGTCCACAGTGAAACAACTCTCGGGCAGAAACGACCGAAAGATGGCCAGCATGCTCTCCAAAAAAGGGCTCTCCTCCATCAAATACTGCTTGTCCGTCATGCTCAAGAGCTCTTCAATCGCTTCCAAAAACGATTCCTCCTCCAGCAAACCGTCTCCCGTATGCTGGATGAACGTGTCGTACATCGTCTCTGGCGCGACGCGCGTGAAAGCCGATTGCGCCAGCAAGTCGTACAAATCCACTGCTTGCTGCTCACCAATCGTCAACACGCCGCCTTCTACACTAGAAAAGCGAAAGCTCAAGGCAGCAGCCGCCGCCTCCTCTCCCTCCTCCTCCTCCTCCTCTGCAAGCTCCGATTCGATTGCCAACGCCCCTGTCCCACATTCCGGCCATTGCGTCATATCCAGCAGCTGAAGCCACGCGGCATCTTCGTTCCTACCGCTTTTTGCCTCAAGCCAAGGCCAAACGTGCGTTTCAAACGACAGCCGATCGCTTTCCTGTACCGACTGTGCCGCCCACAGACAACGTACCGTCTCCTCGACGTCAACCGAGTCAATCGACGCACAAACTCGCCGCTCGTCCGTCGTCGTCCTCTCGACACTCTCCAGGTCAAACACGGCCACGACCGACCGCAGCAACGAGCGCAGCGCCACCCGCACGCTCGCCGCCGTGACGCGTCTGTCGTTTTCCGTTTCTTCTCCGTCGCTGGTGCGTCGACTGAAGTCGATCGCTGCCTCAACTTTGTGCTTGACGTCGCCCGGCACAAGCACGAGGCAGCCAATAGCCGCGTCGTGCCATCGCGTCCTTTCGTGTGTCGGTTCCAACGCGGCAAACAGCCGCGCCAGCGCCTCGTCGAGAGGCGCGTGCTCACATGTCGCAGCTGTTGCCGCTATCAAGTCCCGGAGCGCGCGGAGCTCGAGCGCTTTGTGGCTGCCGCTTGTCGCTGCGACTCGGTCGTTGACCGCAGCCGAGAACGACTCGAGACTGCGGCAACATGGAGCGAGAGGGGCGACGATGAGTGCGTTGCGCACTCGCCACGCGCACTCGGTCTGATGACGTGTGAGGAACGGCAACTTGGGGCGTGTGGGACAGGTCGACGTCAACGTCTCGTTTGTACTATGAGAGGGCGAGAGGGCGCCGTCTGCGACATGTGTTGCCCTTGTGCGCGCTGAGTGCGCGGCAGTAGTGACCATGAGTGAGTGGAAAGGAAAGAGTTACACAGTGCGGCAGGCGCGGAGTGCGGAAAAGGAGACACAACAAAAGCACAAGTTGCACTTGGGGGTGGGGCTGTGCGCGCGTCTTCTCTCCTCGTTGTTGGGCGCCGTCTCGCTTTTGTGTTTAATTGGGTGCGCTGCCTTGTTGGCACACGCGCACTCTCTCGCTCGTTCGCTCACTCGCTCTCTCTACCGCGTAAGAGTGGGCCCAGATGTTGCCGTTGTAACCACCGCGTCGATCGGTTTGTCGCATATTGATAGCTGCAAGTCGAGGGTCGATCTTGTGGCCCTTTATCGGGAGACAACCCGATGCTCGAATAGAAGGATGGGAAATAATCACATTCTAAAAAAAGACATTTGCTGAACTCATTTCTAAGTTGATGTCGCTCTTTCTCAGTTCGTTTGGTCAGAAGACTCTCGGGGTCGAAAGACTTACTGTCCGAGGAATAGGCCGGTGCAGCGCTTGCTGTTACCACGATCATTGCATTTATCGTAAAGACTAGCAAATGCTACCGTAGGCAATAAGGTTCATCCGTTCCTGACATTGATGAACTACCACGTGCCGAAGTCTCTCTGTTGAGAGGGCATACATGAGTGATTTGATCCATGTGCACTACACGGTCAGCCCTTGGCGTAACGTATTACGGGTACGAGGCACGTTGCCTCGACGGAGAGCTGAGGGCCCGTCGACCCGCAACATGCTCAACTTCTCCATACACATCTAGCATTTGTCACACATTGATCTATTGGCTTTAGGAGTGGACAGTGCCGAGTATGCACACCAGGCTCAGTGCATTCCACTACCTCTACTTATGCAAACGAGGACAAAGCGACTGCACCGACTTGGGACGTCAGAGATGTCGCTTGCGCGACGTTCAAGATGATCGTAATGGTCACATGTTCTGGGCCCATTTACTTTTATCGCAACGTTGTGTAGTAGAAGCTAATGTTCAGCACATGGTGGACGAAGCAAGCTTGCTGCATGCCTTGCATCAGACTGTAAAGCAGCACAAATACCACCGCTGTTCTGAACAACTTTGTGCCACGTGAATTACGCTAACCTTGGGCGACACACTGCAACGTTACCGCTGTCATGTTTTGCGCTTCTTTCGATCTCGCGGGTCGGATTGCGCCAGCTTTTGGCATTGTACCCCAGAAATGACCGTGACATCCCTTCAGCCAATCAGAACGTCCTATACGAACCGCTGAACCGGCTCGGCACCTCCCCAGCCAATCAATGCATGTACAAAATAACTGCTGAGGTCGATGAAGCGATGAAGTCCATGCCATTTCTTTATTTAGAATCGACGTCAACAACAAACTCCAGGATCGAATCCAATTATATTTTTGCGTGTCCGAATTCGTGCCCACTTGGCCACTTGCTCAATCATACGACTTAGTGGACCTCTTCGTGTTGACTTGGTCAGAGCATAGCAAGCCTAAACTAAGAACGGGGGTCAAGGGATCCCTCCGGATTCGTGAAGAAGGGGTTTTCATGATCCTCTCCATTCTAAAAGCACTTCATAAACTCGCTATGTAAATCTGATGTGGATGCACTCATCCAGCAGTAGTTCTTCCAATTGTCAGCTCCGAGCGCTGCAGCATGCACGTCGTTGTCGTTCGATCTTGTAGAACTTCCTACTCAAGGTTGTCATAACAAAACATCTAGCGTCACAACACCTCAAATTCCACCACAATCGACCATACCGCTCACATACAACAGACAACTAAGCAACGCTCGACCTCCGCTGATGAATAAGTTGGAAAGAAAGCCCGTTCAATATCAAGCACAAACACCAGCACCACCACGTGGTCCTATTCCTTTAGGTTATCGCTGACCGGGCCTCTACCTGCAAACTTAGGAGTGCTCAGCATGGCGTGCCTTCGCGTACTTCTCCATCGGCGAAGTCTGAGAAGATTGCCTGCACAAAACATGCAGAACACACAACACACCCATCAGCTTCCTACCTGCAAGCATCCTCAATGTGCCATCCATCCACACACACAAACTCCTACCAGAACGTCGCTGCACACATAGCAGCGCCCATAGCAACGCCAGAGCCGACGCCCACGCGCATACTGTGCCGCACCATGCCGGGCACGACGCCTACTAGAGCCCCACCCACACCTGCATTGATCGGGTCCTCCTTCTGACGAATCGTCGCTGCAACGTACTCGCCTGTGGAGTAGATGCAGCCCACAGCAGCGAACACGAGCTGTAAAAGACACCACAAGGTGTGACCTTAGAACTAGCTAGTACTTGGCAGCAGTTCCGCAGCTGTTGGAGCCTACCGAGCGCAAGCCGACGTGCTTGAGCTGGCTCGAGAGCACGGGCAGCTTGGCGCCTGAGCATCGGCACCACATAGTAAAACAAAGACAAGTACATGAGTTAGCAATGCAGTGGAACGCGATTGTTCCAGTGAGAGCGACTCTTACCAAGCTTAGGGATGGCCCATACCGACTCGACGGAGCCGACAGCAGCGCCAAAAAAGGCTCCTGCACCCTGTTAAAGCAGTGAAGGGGTAGATGAGCAACGATGTGACGTGTGGGGTGCAGGGAGATCGAGGCGAACCGTCGTGTGCACGATCTTCTCGCTTCCACTGGGTCCGTTCATTTTCGCTTTTGGTTTCCTCGTGCGCTTCGAAGGAGCGGGGTTTGATTGGTTAAATTAGCGACGGGCGGACGCTGTTGCGTAGTCTGAACAGTTGTACGTGGTGTGTGCTTATAGGGTATAGTGCAGAATCTGAACTGGAAGTGGGACGTATCTTTGTGCTTGGGGCAAAACGATAGTGTGTGAAGCTCTGCTGATGCATCGTGATTGCTAGTTGAAAACTACTCCAACACCCGTGAGAAGGCCACTGGCCGGCTCCAATTTCTGTCATACTCCCAGTCAGGGAGGTCCTCCATATACCATTATCTCTATTCCCTCCGCTTTTAAGCACACGGTCCCTGTCAATGTATGTTTGTTACAAACTAAAAGCGTTGTGAGAATGCTCGTTCGTATTGGAGTATACTAGGAAAAAGGCCCACACGATGCCACTCGAGTTCACATGGCAAGCAGTGGAAACTACGCGTGCTTTCCGACGATACTACTGTCGCTAAATATGTGTCTCTAATGTGTGTATTGAATTTAAGTTGTTTGCACACGCAGCGATCTCTGAGCTGTATTAATCTGGATAGCGTTCTACTAGCCTCGCGGTAGGATCACGTGAGATGAAGCAGCTTACCATGCACACACCTGCGAACAGCAGACTGTACCGTATCGTAGCAACTTTAATACCACACAGAAGCTATAGCAGTTCCTGTTCCAAACCACAGATCCAAATGACCTGCTAACCCAACGGTCGAATTACACTAGCCCTGCTGACCACTCCCAAATCGATAGAATTATGGTTACGGTCCAGGCGTAAGCAGGATCTGTAACTCAATGTCTGCTTGCTCAACGGTTTGTTCGTCGTATCCTTTGACTGTGTCACTGCCTCCGATTGCGCCGGGGTAATGGCGTACTGTCAATGCACGAAACCTATGCACGAAACAGATTGCGACAAATGTTGTGCTGCCCTGATCAATGCCAATTCATGTAAAGCATACGTCCGCAGTCCTTTTTTCGACCGTTTAGGAAGCCCAAATGAGTCCATTGCGGTGTTACGTAAGGCAGCGGACTATGTCACTGTTCATCTGGAAAACTTTTTGAAGCCTTCACCTATGGCACAGCCATCTCATACATGCCCCAATGTCCAGATTACCGGTGCAGTCGCAACAGCTCGTGCAGAAAGAGGAGCTATTGTTTTGAACATTTGTGAACTCGCGCAGAGGAATCGAAAGCGCAGGCGACGTAGACGTTCCCATTGCTTTGATGGGATTCAAGTGCGTATTTAATCGCAAACCAACACGTGGTGACGTGTTATATATTTCAGCTGTAAAAAATTAAAGCTTTTACAGTCTGCGTCACGCATAAGGCAGCAAAGTATTGCCGCAAGAATAAGTGCAAGTATGGTAAGCCTGACAATGGTCATCATGATGTAGGTGAACATCAAAAGCATGAGAGCGATAATCATTAAAAGTGTCTCAGTATTTCTACCTGGAAACCCAGGTCCCACTGAGCTCGGCTTCTCGTAGAAACATAAACACCGACATCATATAGTCTGTGTCCTGGGCTGGCTGTCCCCCAGAGAGTCCAGTGAGTAGTAGCCATCCGATCGAGGATGTGAAGGCTACAACCGAAGAAGCATTCTCGGGTCGCGTGTTTCGGTCAATGACGCATATATTCTACAAGAAACTCAGTAGGTCACTGGACGGGCAAGCTTCATTCTATACAGCGACCTCAGCAGTTCTTCTACGCGTGCGCATGCAGACGGGTATACTACGTACTACCGTACCGAACGGCACTATTGAAGGACCGCTTTTGGGAGACTCAGGGAGTGGCCGAAGAAGTATAGAAAAGCATAAATTAGGACTCCTCGATCAGGTAGCACGTTTCGAGGAAAACTACGGGAGTGAGGTTTATAATCGCTGTAAAAACTAGCAGATAAATTCGTTTCTCTTCTCATCATTTAAAGACACGAGTCTTGCTAAATTATCTTTGGTTGTAAGAGTTAAAAGCCTACATAAAGGCTAGTAATTTTGGGTATTCGTATCTCGTGATCTCTTGTAGTCATTGTTCCACTGGACTACAAGCTTGCAAGCTTGATTCAATACCCAGAGTTAGTCTCACCAAGTCTGTGAAGACTTGGCACATTCCAGCGACGATGTGCCAAACAAAGACGTGGAACGCCAGGGACGACGCCGTCTACAAAGCTGCCGTGATCGACCTATCTGGAACCACGCATAGATTTTGGGCCTTTTGCTAACCACACGCGATAGCAACCGATGAGCATCCGCCATGATGGGCGCTGTGCTGTTTTCCATCATCGAGCTACTCGAACGCGCACCTAAAGGGGCCCCAGTCATGTCTGGGATCAGCCGAGTCAACCCCTAATTATACCGGTGCCGAACTCCTGGCTCCGCATTTACCTAATATCTTGTACATAGTTAACACCGTGTAAAAACCTTCACAGCTGAAAAAAACTGCATTTGATTTTCGGGAAGGTACAGCAGAATTTGGAGATTATAAACCGATAGGTGACATCCAGTATGGAATCGAGAATTGTGGATGTGCGTGCGTTCCACCTGTATGTAGACACGATAGATACAGATAACTCGAGTCGTTCATGAGTAGAAGTCAGTAACGCTGGAAGAAGTGTGCAAGAGTTCAAACGTTGTGGACTTGTTCAACGACTTGAGTCATCGAGTGGGATCGCAAAGACGATTTATTCGAGGGTGAAAGGGATTCTTCTCATGCAATTCAAAGAGCGTCTATACACTTAACATCAAGAGTACAATGTCAACGGAAGAGCTCCGTACAGCCACCGTATCATTCTACACCCGCGTTGTTCATCACGCGTATCAATTCCAGACTACTCGTGCACTTCAATCAACATTCCATAGTCTATCCGCATCTCTACTAGTGTCCTACTACGTGAGGAGCATCTCGATAGACTTCGAGCGCTCTCTTCTGTATTCGACATTTTAGTAAAATCGCTGGGCTCTTGGATCATGAACGCAATCCATCATGCCGGCGATGATGGCTCTACGAAAGTTGGACCACATTCCAACAACACAGTCCGGAGCTGGAGATCCATGACTACAGTCCATCAACTGACGACTTTTACTGTCCATCGACGTGATTCTCGAGCTCGACTGCGCCGGACGTGCTGCGTAGTCGTTGATGAGAAGCATCCTGAGTCCACTTATTATGCTATCTTGTTGTGCTGCAATTACACGCATTTTTACGGCCCTGTCAGACGGCAGCACCTTACAGCACAATGTCGACCTTAAGTGCCGAGTAAGCCATGCCACCAGTAAGTTCGAACGTTCTGCATGCGTCCAAGACGGACACGCGGCCGCCGTGAGCGAGCATGACTCAACCCTGGGCTTTCGTATGTAGCAATTGTGGACGACAGCGCGATGCGACCACACAGAACCGCAGTTCAGTCTATGCAGGTATGGCGGATAGGCACCTTGCAGCAGTAAGTAGTTTGGGCTCGTTGCCAAGGAACGGCCTTTGTTAAACGTAGGCACCCGATCGAGATGCAGCGTTGCTTGTTTTTCAGGAAGGAATTAAGGTAGCGACAGAAGCAGTCACAGTATCAGCATGTTGATACATCTTCCTATTGCTTAAAACCGACGTGGTCAATTGCAGAACTAATCAGCATCTGAAATTCACGGTTACGCGAATCTTGACACGCAACTTGGCACTGAAAAGAATGGCGCCTCCTGCTGCTCGATGCTAGCTGCTTTATCGCCTCGCTACTCGCTCAGTATAGAAGAAGAGCGTCGGCATCACACAGCAGCTAGTTTTCCGACCGTTCACCGCCACGTCCTCGTCGCCCAATTATTAACCTCAGCCTTGCTCATTTTACACGCGTCCATTGATGGGTCGGGATTTGCGGCCGGCGTGGGACATAGCCACCAGCACGGTCTTGGATACGGTCTTGGGCACGGACACGGGAATTTTGTCCGGTGTTAATGTCGTTCGACTGCACGCGGAAAACGCCAGCGGCGAGTAGGAGAACAATGCTGAGGAAGCGCATAAGGTAGGTTCGGTCGTTGCTAGTTGGCTGCACTACCGACAATGACCGTTCGGTTGCGAAGACACTTCGGTTTTGCTTCCTTGCAAAATGTAAAGTGATTAATTTCGGTCCTTTGTTCGCTATCTCGTCTGCTTGCCTCGGCCTACTGGGTTCTGCTGATAACACGAACGGTAATCGCTGTATCGCGCATGAGGAATCGCCACGTCGCGCATGACTATTCGCCACCTCGCGCCCTAGTGATTGCCAATACGTGCATTACCAATCACCTGAACGTGGGGAAAATCGAAAAAACACCCAGGCGTGGTGCTCAAAACACTGAGGTTATATTTAGGCTATCCATTTATCTTTTACTTGTGTGTCAACAAAAGCAACAAAGACAGTCCTCGACTTTGCTCTCTTCGATACTAATGGAGCAATACTCCATACGGTCCTCAACTTTGCTCCATACAGTCCTCGACTTTGCTCTCTTCGACAATTATGGAGAAATACTCCATGCGTCCACGTGTTCTCAATTGATACGCGTGCCCTGTAACGGGGTGAATCGTTACATAACAATTTATAAGAAATTGTTAATAGAATATAACTATAAGAGTTATATTCTCAGAATATTGTCATAAGGACAAATATTCTGTAGCACTTACGAGTAGTTCCTAATTGGTTGATATAGGCCATTATATCAACCAACGAAGACGCGCCACGACAGACGCACGCAATGAGTGGTGAGCAGATAGTTGATTTACACATTTGTATTTAGATATAGTTAGATGAAGATAAATAGTGATTTATTGCAGACATTAACTATTATAAATACAGTTCTACTTTTTACGCTAACCAAGTACTCGCTTCTTCTTACCGTCTTCCTCTGCACGTACGAGTGTACGTGAAATTCCGAGGCACCGCCTTATTCTGTCATCAGAATAAGTAGCTTGTATTGTCACCAGTACAAGCTTCAGGGTGCCCCGTTACACCTGGTAGCACTTCGTAGTCCGTCCAAGGACCGCGTTCACATCCAACATGAATATGTTGGATGATGAAGATGACCAAAGCTTTCACGCTACGCGTGACGGCTACTCCCATTTGAGCGATGTCGAATGGGATGCGGTTGAACGAATGGGTTCGACCATGGGCATCCATGCTGTTAGCGTCATGCTAGAGGCTCTCAATAGAGATGCCCAACATGCTACTATCGCCAAGTTCATTCAAAATGAACTTGACGCTGAACGCGAGAAAGTAGCCTTGCTTCACCAACAAGGTTCTCAACAAGCAGAGTTGTTGAGAGAACAGGGTGCTCAACAGTTTGAACTGTTGAGACAGCAGCAGGCTGCTGCTGGTGGGTCGATGCATTCGCGTCGACCCGAGACCTTGAAGATTGACATCTCCAAGTATAGGGGAGTCGAAGAGGACTCCCTCTTGAGATGGTTCGTCGAATTGGATGACGCCATAAGGGCGCGTCGCATCGACGACGGGGATATGCAAGTTGCATTTGCCCAGTCAAATCTGGCAGGACGTGCCAAGACTTGGGCACTGGGGCTCAAGTTGCACGACCCATATGCGTTTGGGTCGTTGGAAGTCTTCAAGTCGCGGCTCAGACAAACGTTTGAACCGCCTAGAGCTGAGTTCAGAGCTCGAACCGAACTCTTGAAGCTCAAGCAGGGTAAGCGTGATGTGCACGCTTACGCGCAACATATACGACATCTTACGAGTTGTATAAGTTCCAATCCGGTGGATGAACACACGTTGGTTTCGGTGTTCATGCAGGGTCTTGCGGATGGTCCCGTCAAGACTCACCTGTTCCGGCTTGAACTAGATTCACTAGAACAAGCCATTTCCATTGCGGAGCAGGAAGACTTCAGTCTGAGACAGGCTCGCGCCAGCTCGACATCATATCGTCCACCGAGACGATATGACAACGGAGGTCCAGAGCCGATGGAACTCTGTTATGTAGAGAGCTAGAAGGCTCGCTCTACAGGCTACAAGAAGTTGCAGAGATGCAACAGATGTCAAAAGACAGGACACTACGCTTACGAGTGTAGTGCCCCTCGTCCAGTGTCTCGCGACACTGGGCGTAGTGACCGTCCATACATGAGAAAGGGGCAGGGACGATGGTGCAAAGACGCAACAACAGGATGGACCGTCAACAAACGGACAGGATCAGTAGGTGCGGAGCACCCTACTGATCCAGCAACGTCAAGAGAATATGTAGGCCTCTTGATGAAGGTTGCTCCCAACAAACAAACGTTGTGCGTTGCTGCTCTAGGTAATGAGGTCTCACTCGTTACCTTGAAACTCGAAGTGACGAATAAGTTGTCCCTTCGAGCTCTAGTCGATTGTGGGGCGTCCAACAATTTTGTGCGACGCCAATCGCTAGAAGATGGTCACTTTAAATTCAGTGAATGTGACACACCTCCTACGAGGATGACGGTACGTCTTGCGACAGGCGCATCCGTAACCGTCATGAAGCGTATAGTGAAGATCCACTATACGCTAGAAGATACCCAATATGACGATGACTTTATCGTATTGGAGTTGGATGACAAATTTGACGTCATCCTTGGAATACCGTGGCTCAGAAGGTACGAACCACGGGTAAACTGGCAACATCGAACAGTAACGATGCCTGCCGCTTGTTCATCAGATGGCCATCTGATGAACGTTTTGGAGCGTCCACAAGCGTGTGGATGTACTACGAGTGAGTGCGATGGCCCCACTTGTGGTACGGTCGTTAGTACGACTGCACAAAACCTTAGTGTACCAAACGGTTACACTTCGGAGCAAAGTTCCGGCGGCTGTGAGGAAACACAGGCTGCGCCGAAGGTCCACCACTCGAATAAGTCGGGTGGACTGGGACAAAGATGTATCCCTAGCGGGGAACATCTAGAAGAGAAACAATCGATCGCTCAGGTTAAGCGAAACGATAATCCTAGATCGACTGGAGAGTCTTTCGTAGAGGATCTCGCTGTGGTTGCGCAACCCCAGCTAGAGGAAGTAAAGGGAATAAGTCCCAAGATTACAAATACGGCGGAAATAAGTTCCCCGAAACCCGCGGGAATAAGTCCCCGGGAAGCCGAAGGAATAAGTCCTTCGAGGCCTGAGGGAATAAGTCCCCAGGAAATGACAGAGACATTGAATGTCATAGTCAATAACGGATCAAGTGTAGGCGCTTATACACTTGATCTGATTGCGCCTCCGAAGTTGACTTCGGAGATCACTCAGTTGCCATCGCTCGAACATAAAAGGTTCTTGCGTGATCTGCGTAGTGGCAAAGTCAAGCAGATCTGCATACTCGTCGCTGACGACGAGTGTGTAACCGACATAAGGTCAGCAACAGTGTTTACTGAGAACGAGAGAGTTCTCAGTAGTTCATCTATGGACGAGAGTGTCCTCGATGAAAAGACACGAATTGAGCGATATGACTCCCAATCGTGGGAATCGCTCAAGACAAATCCTCTCTATGAAGATTTGGTTGAATTCAAGGATGTATTCCCTGAAACTGTTCCCTGCGAATTACCGAAGGATAAAGGTATTCGACACGAGGTCGAGCTTAAACCAGGCTCGAAGTACTGTGTCATGAAGCAGTGGCCAGTGCCTCGTGAACAAGTACTTGGGATCGACAAGTTCTTTGCCGATCGTTTAGCAGCGGGCCATGTGAGGGAATCAACTTCCCCACATAGCTCTCCGACCTTCTGTGTGCGAAAAGCAACAGGAGGGTGGCGGATAGTGCACGCGTTCAACAAATTGAACGCTGCAACGGTACCGGCTCAGACGCCGATACCAAGGAAGGACGTAATCATTGATGGTATGTCAAAGAGTACCATCTTTTCGTCCATGGATTTGATGGATGGATTCTAGCAAATCCTTATGTGGGAACGGGGTATACCCTATACCGCAGTTAGCACGCCTAGCGGCATGCTCTGGGAATGGCTAGTAATGCCACAAGGGCTTAGTAATGCCCCTGCCACATTCAACAGATGTGTATCACATCTGTTGAGACCAGTACGATAATTCGCGCCGAGTTATTTCGATGACGTATTCATCCATAGTCGAGCTATGGATGGAAAGTCGGATGTTGAGGTTCACAGGTACCACGTCCGACAGGTTCTTACAATCATGCGAAAGCATCAATTGTATGCAAACCTCAAGAAGTGTATATTTGCAGCAAGCGAAATACCACTTCTTGGGTGCATCGTTGGTAAGAACGGTGTACGTCCTGGTCCCGAAAAGATCAAGGCGATCACCGACTGGCCTGTGCCGGTTGATGTCAAATGTCTTCGAAAATTCCTTGGGCTAGCGGCGTATTTGCATAAGTATTCACGCAATTAAGCCGAGATGACTGTGCACCTCTCTCGTTTGTTGAAAAAGAACGAGAGGTGGTTATGGAACGCTGAATGTCAGCGCTCCTTTGAGGGTATCAAGCAGAGCTTGATACAATCCCCAGTCCTAGCAATAGCCGATCAGGACAGGCCATTTCATGTGGTCTGTGATGCCAGCGATTTCGCAATCGGCTGTGCATTAAAGCAGTACGACCTAGAAGGCGTTGAACGCGTCGTCTGCTATCAGTCGCGTCAGCTGCAACCAGCTGAGCGGAACTATCCAGTGCATGACAAGGAACTCCTTGCAATGAAGTATGCACTCGCGAAGTTCAGAGTCTATCTATTAGGAGATAGACCCTTCATTGTTTACACTGACCATGCGTCATTACGCACGGCAGTGAACAGCCCGCACCTTTCACAACGAATGGCGCGGCGGTTGGCATCCTTTGCGGAATACAACTTTACGGTCGAGTACAAACCAGGACGACTTAATGTCGTCGCTGATGCACTCTCACGTCGTCCCGACTTTGAAACAGTCGCGAAACCCAACAGTGAGACAGTCACTGTTGCGGTTATGACGTCCTCAGTCCCATCTACAACGTTGTATGATGATGTGAGGCGGGCATACGCCCAAGATGGTGAGATTGTGAAGTTGTTGACACATCTCTCCCAACCATCTCGAGAATCGTTGAAACGATTGTCGTCTGCGTATCGATCTGCATCAGATCGATACACTACTCGCAACGGTTTACTGTATTATACAGCCGTTTCTGGTGACACACCACGTGTTGTCATTCCAGATGATACTGATCTGCGTTTGCGGATCATGTTCGAGTATCACGATGCTCCTATAGGAGGACATCGTGGCCGAGAGAAAACATATCTCACGGTGAGTCGAGACTTTTACTGGCCCCGCCAGTATTAGCTTGTGCGAAAGTATGTTCGCGCATGCGAAGTTTGTCAACGAGTGAAGTCAAGTCCTTCACTGCGTGCACCTTTACAGCCTCTACCGGTTCCGGCTGAGTGCTGGGAATCCATCTCAATGGATTTCGTCTTCGGGTTACCCAAAGACGCACGCGGGAATACGGGTATTCTCGTATTTGTTGACAGATTCAGCAAAATGGTACACCTTGTGGCTGTACCAGAGACAATCACGGCAAGTGGCTGTGCTTGTGTCTTTATTGACACCATCTTCCGACTTCATGGGTAGCCCCGTGAAATCGTATCAGACAGAGATCCACGATTCACTGCTGATTTCTGGCGTTCCGTGTTCAAATCACTCGGAACGCGCTTGAAGATGTCGACATCTGATCATCCAGAGTCAGATGGTCAGACGGAACGTGCCAATCATGTCCTTGAAGAGATACTTCGAGGATACGTACACTCCTTTAAGAGTTGGAGTGAGTTTTTGCCAATGGTAGAGCTTGCCATTAACAACTCGGTGCATGCGTCCACGACACATACACCGTTTTACGTGAATGGCTTGCGCCATCCGCGTGTACCCACCTTACTAGAGTGTAACTCTGGTTTAAGGGGGGAGGGACTCGCGCGAGCAAAAACCGAATTGGTTCACGCTCATCACGCTCTGACGAAGAGGTCATTGCGTTTGATGCCGATATCGATAACATCGATATCGAAGAAGATGATGCCAGTGAGAGTGCGGAAGCCCTCACTGAAGAAAAGGTTGATGTTGCTGCAGTGCGCTCACAGCGCACTGTAGCTAACGAGTCATCAGATGAGTTCATACTGGCTCGTGAAACGGTAGTCCGTTTTGTGCAAGACTCCATCGCCGAAGCGGTGGATAAGCAAAAGCAAAACGCCGATAAGAATGGAAGGGCAAACACTCTTTTATTTAATAAAGGTGACTTAGTCCTACTGTCTACGGTTAATCTACCAAAGCATGTAGTGACTAACTTGGGTAGCAGTAAACTACTACCCAAGTACATCGGCCCATTTCGTGTATTGCACCGCCTAGGCAATGCATACATGATTTAACTGCCACGTAAGATGCGAACGCATCCCACGTTTTACGTTGGTCGGCTTAAGCCGTACCATCAGTACGCTGCTTCTTCCGATGAAGAACGCCCTTGCGCTCAAGCATCTCGCAGAGAGCCTTGTGCTCCCGATGGTGGGCATCAACAAGGGTCTGAAGAGCATCTATCTCATCCCGAGACCGATCAACAATCCCACGAGCTACCCTTAGCTCGTCACGAAGAGATGTCAGAGATCTCTCGTTCTCGAGCTGATCAAAGGCAAACTCAGCTCGATGCTTCAAGGCAGTGTCCGCCATTTGGAGACGCCTGTCCCGCTCATGTTCGTGGTCGTCGCGTAACCCTTGCGTTACGCGATCAAAGAAGCTCTCGGGAACACACCGATCCACATGATCGTGTGGAGAGCGTCTTTCCTCCTCCTCCACCTCCATGAGAGGACTCTCGCGGTGGCCAGCGCTATCTAGTTGAGCAGCTGTTGAACCACCGCGACGTGAACGGACGTCGGACGAGTTATCTCGTCCGGTGGCGCGGCTATCCCCCGTCCTGGGATTCTTGGGAGCCCCGCTCCCAATTGATGATCGACGTACTGGGTCTGGTTGAGCAGTACGACGCGGCACATCCTGTGCCGCAGAAAGACCGCCGGAGAATCCTTCCCGGCACGGTCGTAAAGGGATTTCAAGTTGTCAATCCCTTCGTACATCTCAATAGAGATGCGTACGCGCCACCACGGGCTATTAGGGAGGTAAGCCTCCTTAGGTGCTCGTGCAGAGTTGTTCACACAACATGGGCACGAGTCTCCCCAAGAGAGGCAGGGTAATTCTTTCTCCCTTGACAAACGATGCAGCTTGTAGCGTGCACCTGTCGAGGTTCGCTTTTCAAACTTAGCACGAGCTTTGATAAGTTTGTCGTTCCAAGCGTCACGACCTACATCCTCGAGGTTATGGATGTAGGCGTTCCACGCTTGAAGCAGTGAGGGACCATCACGTTTGTGATTCCCACTGTATCATCGATGTTTGAAGAAAGCATCGATGAAGAATTCATGTTCAGCGCGATAGTTTTTCGCGCTGGGGTCAAGGTGATGGATCCTTGACGAATCGAACAACCGTGTTCGATAACGATCACTCGTCGTCGCCGACAAGTGATCCATGACGGATTTTGGAGGCATCCATGCCTTCTTCTCAGGAGCGAGACGCAAGACATTGCAGACCCGCTATTCCTGCGACGTGCCGACAGAAGTACTGGCACCTCGCTGTGAAGTGGTGTCCATAGGAGAACCGACACCACTGTGAGCGCCCGAGTCTCGCGACCTCGAGCGCCTTCGCTTCGGCGATGGTTCATCTGATTCATCAGATGAACGAAAGATGCTACGACGCAAAGCATCATCCATGCCACGCTTGGCAGGCGGCTTGGATTCGATCGCCGTCGATACGGATCCGTCTTCCGTATCAGGAGAGTACGAGACACCGAGCTCGTACTCTGTGAAGACATGAGTGTCTTCATGACCAGCGCCTGCATCACCATGTGACACAGGCTGGGTCGCTTCAGCAACCGATGAGACATCAGTTGCTGTGGTTTCTGCTTCGGCGTCCGCACAGAGACGTGCGGACGCGCTCTCGGCGGCCTTGCTCGCGCATCGCATGGGCTTGTTAACCATGCGATGAAATGTTGGGAAGTGGACTCGGACCAACAAGTGCAAACCCTGTCCCAAATGATTTGGGACGAGTATCCATTTAGTCAACCAGTCACTAAAGTGACTGATGGTTAAGGGGGGGATGTAACGGGGTGAATCGTTACATAACAATTTATAAGAAATTGTTAATAGAATATAACTATAAGAGTTATATTCTCAGAATATTGTCATAAGGACAAATATTCTGTAGCACTTACGAGTAGTTCCTAATTGGTTGATATAGGCCATTATATCAACCAACGAAGACGCGCCACGACAGACGCACGCAATGAGTGGTGAGCAGATAGTTGATTTACACATTTGTATTTAGACATAGTTAGATGAGGATAAATAGTGATTTATTGCAGACATTAACTATTATAAATACAGTTCTACTTTTTACTCTAACCAAGTACTCGCTTCTTCTTACCGTCTTCCTCTGCACGTACGAGTGTACGTGAAGTTCCGAGGCACCGCCTTATTCTGTCATCAGAATAAGTAGCTTGTACTGTCACCAGTACAAGCTTCAGGGTGCCCCGTTACATGCCCTCTATTGCCCGATCGCTATGCACGTGAATCGCTGGAACATTCGGCTCACAGCGTGGACAAGAATGTGGTTACCGTGACTCACGATCATCCCCAAGGCGATACAACTGCTAAAACAGTGGACTTTCGTTTCGCTACATATTTGGCCCATTTTGAGGGCTCGAATCATATAGAGTTGTCGGCGATCGTGTGGTTGGGGGTTAAAGTGCAGACATGCACGTCTTGCCCAAAGTGCTGCCATGTGTATCATCAATTACTAGCCGATGTCGAAGTCTGCATCCCAGGTTACGGCTATTACCTGTCGGCATGCACACAACCTGGCTTATAAATGGTCAGTGCGGTTCGTGCGGATTCGCTTATTAGTTTTTTCTTCGTAATGATATAACGGCATTGCGATATTACGTACACCAATGCACGGTGGTCTGATGCCATAACTTTGACAAGGCCTGAATGTAAACAAATTGTTGACGAGGTAAACAATTGCTGTGGACACTATCAGCGTGTCACTTGCATGACAATGAATGCCAAGTAAATACATTTGTATGGGGCTCGCTCTCATGTGGTCACGCTTGCTCTTGCAAAGGAAATGATCATCAAATGAAGCAAACAATTTAAGGGACAACACGTAAATCACGCCTTCAAGGAATATCCAATACTGCTTGAATGCAGCCATCGGTGTCCGAATGAACGTGGGAATGTAATGGGGTTACATGGCGGTTGTTTGAACTGGTTATGCTGTGTGTCCACACCAAGCAAAGATCGGTGGATCTGAGTGGTACAGTATTGGTACCACGTACTTACGGTAATACTGCACCTTATCGGGTAGGGATAAGGGATAAAACTTCTGTCGTAGGATCGCAATGTAGAAGTCAGTCAGACAAGGTTTTAGGGTTTAATTACTGTAGTCAAAGAATGAATAAAGTTCAGTTCCCCTTTTGAATCGTTGGTCGCTAGTGCCTGGTTAATGCATAGCGTGTTGGTAGAGTGATAGCCTTGTGAAGGCATTTACTCTTGTGTAACTAGTAGAGACTAGCTAGCGTATGATTCTGTGAATCGTGATCCCTTTGGAACCGAGATTGTTAAGCTTGTGCGCTTGAACGACTGCAAGTCGCTGTTAGTTGTTATAACTAAGAGACTATTTAAGTCGAAGCCTTCCTCCGCTATAGAGCGCTAAGTAGATCCGCTACAAGGGAAGCATGTCAGCCGCCAAATGTGCATGCGGTTGTTTTGGCGACAGGGATCACTTTAACTACATGCTGGTGAGCCTAGGTAAAACAAAAATAGCATCGTAAGTTACAACGTCCTTCGAAGCAGTTTCAGTCGAACAGGCTGCAAAACGTTCAGCTTCATATGCAGGGCCAGCATCGCAAGGGGCACCAGTGAGGAAGACTGGAAGGCGCAACAAAATGAAGAGGTACAGCAAAAAGGAAGAAGAGAGTAAAGTCAGAACTGTCGATAGAATTTTTGATGCTTACCGATATACGACGAATGAAAAGCTTAAATGTCACCTCAGTGTTTCAAACACTAAGCCTAGGCGTATTTTAAGTTTGCACGGACGATACACCACCTTCGGACTCTCCTTATTTTCTCCACACGTCGTGCTTCCTCCTGTTCTTTCCTGTTCATTGATCCAGCGAACAAAGCTAAAGTATCGATACTGTAACGGGGCACCCTGAAGCTTGTACTGGTGACAGTACAAGCTACTTATTCTGATGACAGAATCAGGCGGTGCCTCGGAACTTCACGTACACTCGTACGTGCAGAGGGAGACGGTAAGAAGAAGCGAGTACTTGGTTAAAGTAAAAAGTAGAACTGTATTTATAATAGTTAATGTCTGCAATAAATCACTATTTATCTTCATCTAACTATGTCTAAATACAAATGTGTAAATCAACTATCTGCTCACCACTCATTGCGTGCGTCCGTCGTGGCGCGTCTTCGTTGGTTGATATAATGGCCTATATCAACCAATTAGGAACTACTCGTAAGTGCTACAGAATATTTGTCCTTATGACAATATTCTGAGAATATAACTCTTATATTTATATTCTATTAACAATTTCTTATAAATTGTTATGTAACGATTCACCCCGTTACATCACCTCCCTTAAACCAGTTACACTCTAGTAAGGTGGGTACACGCGGATGGCGCAAGCCATTCACGTAAAACGGTGTATGTGTCGTGGACGCATGCACCGAGTTGTTGATGGCAAACTCTTTCATTGGCAAAAATTCACTCCAACTCTTAAAGGAGTGTACGTATCCTCGAAGTATCTCTTCAAGGACACGATTGGCACGTTCCGTCTGACCATCTGACTCTGGATGATCAGATGTCGACATCTTCAAGCGCGTTCCGAGTGATTTGAACACGGAACGCCAGAAATCAGCAGTGAATCGTGGATCTCTGTCTGATACGATTTCACGGGGCAACCCATGAAGTCGGAAGATGGTGTCAATAAAGACACAAGCACAGCCACTTGCCGTGATTGTCTCTGGTACAGCCACAAGGTGTACCATTTTGCTGAATCTGTCAACAAATACGAGAATACCCGTATTCCCGCGTGCGTCTTTGGGTAACCCGAAGACGAAATCCATTGAGATGGATTCCCAGCACTCAGCCGGAACCGGTAGAGGCTGTAAAGGTGCACGCAGTGAAGGACTTGACTTCACTCGTTGACAAACTTCGCATGCGCGAACATACTTTCGCACAAGCTAATACTGGCGGGGCCAGTAAAAGTCTCGACTCACCGTGAGATATGTTTTCTCTCGGCCACGATGTCCTCCTATAGGAGCATCGTGATACTCGAACATGATCCGCAAACGCAGATCAGTATCATCTGGAATGACAACACGTGGTGTGTCACCAGAAACGGCTGTATAATACAGTAAACCGTTGCGAGTAGTGTATCGATCTGATGCAGATCGATACGCAGACGACAATCGTTTCAACGATTCTCGAGATGGTTGGGAGAGATGTGTCAACAACCTCACAATCTCACCATCTTGGGCGTATGCCCGCCTCACATCATCATACAACGTTGTAGATGGGACTGAGGACGTCATAACCGCAACAGTGACTGTCTCACTGTTGGGTTTCGCGACTGTTTCAAAGTCGGGACGACGTGAGAGTGCATCAGCGACGACATTAAGTCGTCCTGGTTTGTACTCGACCGTAAAGTTGTATTCTGCAAAGAATGCCAACCGCCGCTCCATTCG